ACGAGGCGGTGTTTGTGAACAACGAAGACACGAGCCTGCCGCCGTTCGTCAGCATAATGCCTGGACTAATCGAGAAGAGCGAGCGCGTTGTCCTTGTACAAGGGCTGGTGGACTTCCTCCTGATATCCGAAGGGTGAGCTGCGGTGCCCTCTACCTGCGCTCCCGTGTGGAAGCTGATTTGAGCGTTTGCTGTGTTTCAGAGCGCGGATTGCTATCCAGAAGTGAGTGGCCTGTGACGATGTGGTGGTATATATCCTAATTCTAGCTGCGTGTTGCAGCATGACTTGTACGTGCTATCGCTGAGTTGTCGCTCGCCGTTCGTATTTACCGGAGGTTCCTCTCAGGGAATGGTGCACAAGGCTTCCAGACACCTATTGAGAACGACACGCTCGTGGTCCCGGGCTTCGGCGCGCTTGGAACCGCTCACTCTGAGCGTGGCCTGACATACTACGAGGTGCAACTGAGCGGGCATATGTAGGTTTCCCCCTTTGGTTGATGTCAATCATTCTGATATTCTGCGCGCAGGATCCCGCAGTACGCTCCTTGGGTGGGCTGAGGTTCTATCTACCTGAGAGCATGGCTGACATTTCTCCTCTCCAGAGCGCATTGCACATCATGCAATACTTGATGGGCTTCCGGGACACTCTTTGAGTCTTAATAACAAGTATCCCAAGATGGGAGATGGAGCTCACATGCGTCGAACCGCTAAGTGACGATTTGGATCGAGTGTATCTACAATGGATAGTCGCCCGAGGTCGCAATGATACCTATTGCCCCTGGCTCAAGCATGTTTTATTTGGGCTCTGATTTATGGAGATTGCTCATATCGAGGCCGAGTGTTCGAGTTTTGACCTTTCCAACGCCGGCAAAGTTAAACAGTAACGTCAGCTATGGTACGGTATCTTCTCAACGATCTATTGATAGCTTCTCTACTGTCGATAAAACGGCTACATTGTCTGTGATGCCAGGCTAGTAAAACATTGCAACAGGTAGGGAGTCACGATTGTGTACAAAGAAATGCAGCGTTCGATGGAGATTCTACTCTTCACGGATTCTCTCTGAAGCCCATGAGGTACTCCATGATCTGAAACGCAGCCTATGAATATGATGGAACCGGTGCATCAGCGATCGACGTATGCATACGAAGTGACGAACAAGCCCTTACCACCGGCGAGAATTGGGGTATCCTGAATACGATAAAGATGGTCAAAATCACCCGTGGTGGTCGCGAGACTAGTATACCACTCACATGTGCCCACTAAGCGCGACTTCGAAATACGTCAGACCGCGCTCTGAATGCGCCGTGCCCAGTGCCCCGACGCCATCAACGATGAAGCTGTCGTTGGCAATGGGTGTTTGGAAGCCTTGCAGCCCGTTCCCTACAACCACGTAAACAATTGCCTCCTATCGTTACTCGATGAACCTACATGTCATGCTACGACGAGACGCAAACAAGATGACAGTTAAATCAGCACGAGAAAGACCATCTGCTAACGTACTTTTGGATAGCAATTCTTGTCCTGTGCAAGATGTTCCATGTAAGTGCCCAATTTCACAAACATAGATGGTGGCCATCAGACAACCCACCCCTCCGCAATCAGAATGAAATCGGCCAGGCCATGTACAATCACGGCGCGCTCGCTCCGCTCGATGACGCTCGGCAGAACGCTGAACACTGGTGGAAGACTTGCGTCCCCGTCTGGGAATACATTGACGTTTGAGCATTCCGTCCAGTCAACATACATCGGTGCGTGAATGTGCGCCTTCACGTCGTCGCGGTTGAAGTAGAGGGGAGACACCTGCGTTTGTGGGAACGAGCCGCTGGATTAGGATGGGTCGAAACGATGAGCGTGTCGCATATCGAAGACGAATATGTCGCTCACGGGAAGCCAAGAACGTCCCACAGAATGGGATACTGTAAGTGCAGGTCGCACGTCAGCCATTCAACTCGTGCACAACATCCGATAAAGGTTACGCACTGTGTCGAAGATGCGGTAGATGTCGAACGCGGGATTTGTGATCAATGCGGCGTTGAAAATCGCATCCCAAACGTCGCATCCGGGGTCGAATTCGACTGAAGATCCTGGAAGGGGAAGCAGCCCTTGAGGTGGGTAGGTAACATACTTCTCGTAATACCCAGTATACCCGCATGACGCTGCCGTAGCGTCGAGATACTCCATGAAGGTTTCGCTGTGTCGCAATGAGTGTCGTTTTCGATCTCATAAGATCTAACCCACTTCAGTGCAAAAACGTTGAGATATTTGTGGACGAAATCGACAGCAGGTATTTCCTCCTGGACAACATCCCAGGATATAGAAGCTAGTAATAACTTTAGTTCAAATGCTCCTCTCAACGATCGCTGAACAGTGCGTACGATCCGATATCCAAAAGCCCTTCAGAGGAAGGTCCAGTAGGTTGGGGTTGTCGTAGAGATAGTTGGCAATGTCTGAATCCGATAATCGACGTTTATACCATAAAGAGCACAGAAAGAAGCCAATATGACTCACAAGGAATGTATGTACCAGCATACTGCCGGAGTTATCAGCTCATTTAATCGACAGTGATGGAGATACTCTACCCACACTTTCACCGGTCAAGTATAGGTTCTTGCCATTCAACTCGGAGAATACATTAAAGAACTGTTGCAGGAATCCAACGAGTTGTTCTGCGAGCTCGTCTTCGTTCTGAAAGCCTATTTAGCAATGGCCCGCGACGCGGATGCATCGCCTAAATCCATACCTTGATATTTGGTACGCCCTGAGAGAACCCTGTCCCGACTGGCTGTTCCACGTATAAGATACTGGACAAGTTCGTCCAGCTCTGCTCGTTAGGTGTGGGCTTGGCCTGACCCCATGACCAGCTGAACGGCTGAGAACAATATTGAATTTGAGAAGTGGACGGAACACAGTGTCAACTCACGCCATGCTCCTGTAGCAGTCCTTCGAGCGACGAACACCCAGGACCTCCATTCGTCCTGATCGACACTTAGAAACACAAATGACGTCTATGAAAACGCCTCACCAGAAGATCAGGTCGTCCAGACTGCCTTGGGGACCAGGCGGGAAAAACCAGAAGAAGAGCTATCACAAGATCCGCTGTGAGCAGATATAGAAAGTAACCCAGATATCTCCATCCACATACTTGTCTCGTCTCATCGGGTGCATCGCTGATTGGAAGAAGTCCTGCCCAGCTGGGTCCAACATCAAAATCGACAAGTGGAATGTTCGCGCCATCCACGTAAAACTCTTGCATTTAACTCAATATAGAATGTAGAGGGAAGACTGCAAGGGCATGCGCATACCTGCTGCGCGGGGGTTTGTGAAAGTAATGTTCTGCACGGTACCAGGACCTCCGCTTGCCCGGCGCTGTGGTACAGACCATCTCTTCGCTGCCTCCTCTTGATGAATATGGAGCTCGGCCTTGGACATGAGCCGCCGGGCACCAACACCCACATTCTCAAGAGCGAGGAACGCCAGTACTGCGATCGGCAGTCGATGCAACAGAGAGACCATCGCTGCTAGTCACGACTTAAAGGCTGCGGGGAGGAAGGGATCACAAGCTCGGCTTTCAATCAACGATACCAGCGGGTTTTAAAGGAAATTTTCGACACTTCTGCAATGTCCGGCGGAAGCGAAACGCTTTACAGATGGCAGGGAAGATGCGAGACCACCCGTCTACATACACGCTCGCTTAAACTTCATCCGGGTGGGAGAGCAGTGGGATGAGTCGTCCAACCATGTGGTTCAGGACTTCGCGTTACTCATGATGAATACATCCTTATCACCTGAGGTTCCTGATAGGTGTCGCAAGTCTAACGATAATGCCTTGGTACAACGTGGCGAACAACTACATTAAGATATCTATGGAGTACATTTAGTAAGCAGCTGTCTGAAGTGTCGAGTGTGCAGCATATGCTCACTCTACATCTCGATAACAGACGCACATGTGCTCGCGCCTCTGAACCAGATTCCCACCCGAGGTATATGCATCTTCTATTGTGATACGAGGGAGGAGAGGACGCATTCGCGCACAAAGTATTCGTGGAATCGGTCATCTTTGGTGAGCTCAGGATGGAAGCTGGTCAGGAGGTGGTGCCCCTGCCGCAAAGCAACAATGGTCCGTGAGTCACGTGGATCAGTGTCGTCTTCGTCGTATGGAACCAGGGTCTGCGTGCGTGGAAGTAGCGATGTTGAAATTCGAGACAAGATCTGCATTGGTGGATCGCTTGGTGAGGGGTGAAGGGCAATAATAACCTAGAAGGACAGAAGATTAGCTCCAGCGAGCTGGATGGATTCTGAGTGCTCGTACAGGTGCACGTATGAAAACGCCATGGAAGGGCCGGTCCGAGTCGCGTAAAGCCTCTACTTCAAGTGGTGCTTCGAATGATTCAACCTGGAAGAAGCCCCATTTATGAACCCATCCACACAGTTCAATCGATGCTATACAGACCTGTGAACCCCAGCCGTTTCGCGCAACCGTCACAGACATGCCGCCAAGCAACTCCTGGCCACCTTGCTTGGCACCCTCAACACTTTGCGCGAGTAAAATAGCACCTGCGCAAGTTCCCCACACCGGTTTTGTCTTTACAAAGTCACGAAGAGGACCTAAAAGTCCGGCCAAACGAGCAAGAAGGGCGATAGTGGTCGACTCTAGAAGATAAACTAATTGAGGGGACGTTATTCGATTAGCGATGAAGTCGCACCTCCTCCAGGAATGATCAGCGCGTCGCAACTCTCCAGATCCTCCTGGGTGCGCACTAGTAGAATAACGATACGCTTTTTCACGGAAAGTTTTTTTAACATGACCTGGTGCTCGGCGAATGCCCCCTGCAAAGCTAGGTCATCGGTCAGCAGACTGCAACATATATCCTGTGGGAGTATTCGCTCACCAAGTATTCCGATGGTGACATCCTCCCGTAATTCTGAGTGCTGCATCGATGTTTACTCTTTGCCGCTGTCGCTGAGACGGGGGACAGTTGGTCGAGTCAAATCTGAAGTCGATCTGCTGACGAAGAGTCTATGTATGGACAGCATGGTAGCATCGGCGCAACTTTACATCGTGAAGGCCGAGTAAAGGACCTGAGTTCAGAGAAATTCTAGTTGTCAGGGGTCAGGTCGTCGATATAATCGTGACTAGGAGTGAGAAGAAAGCAAAGACAGCGTACAGGCGAGTCGGTGCCGCTCAGACTGCCATCGCATTCACATGACCATGGATGCGATTGTTGAACAATGCATAGACCAAGATGGGCATTTATACTGCTTCAGGTATTTCTATTGCTCCAGGCATCGTACACACAGAAGAGGGCTATAAGAATGGCTATAGCTCGAAAATGTCACGCCGTTAGCGTCTTCGAATTGGATTACAACGGACTACATTCAATTTCAAGTTACAACAAAGTCTCTCTCCGGCGATGTCTGCGACGCATAAGATAGCCCTCATCAAGGCGGAAGACGCATTTGTCCGGCGCGGTCTGTATCATAAAGTTCTACAAATTTGTGGGTGAATTGAATACGACCCGCCGGACGCCGGACGGGGGGATTTCACCCTTGAAGCTTGATGATTGAGTACTTGCGGATTCACGTAAGTTGGGAGATGCGACTCGGACATATTCGACTCTATGCCTCAAGTGCCCAAGATTCCGGGCCCCGAGTCCGGAGGTGTATTCAAAGACGATGTTGGGGTCAGGGCGGTATCGGATGTGTCGTAACCTTGCATGGTCTGTCTCTTCAATTTTCTCCCCTGTTTTTTTACTGTGAACTTGCGATCAAACAGTAGTATGGGGGAGGTGAAGAACAAACGAAATGAGCCTAGAGCCAGGCCGTGGTATCTTTGGGCCATGGGCGCCATACGTCCCTATGCACAACTCAAACCAATATCCTCGAGCTATGGAGCGATGGACGACTGCAGAATCGGCGACCTGGCAGGAGCTCGAGCTGCTTCAGTGCTTGACGACTTAACGGGAGCGGATATAACCAGAATTTTACTATATCTCAGAGCAATTATGTGCACGTCTTCATACTCATCCGGTGACTGCGGCCCGAGTCCTAGTCATAACTCCCAGATTACGACTTTCCACAACGCGGCCATTGCCTGCTTGTGCAAACATCGTGTTGCGGCAACCCTGTATACGTGGAATCCTTGTATCAGGTTTGGGCAACTTCGATCATGATTTCACTGCCATTATCACTGAGCAATAGAAGGTGTTGCGATGATAACTTAACGGACATATTCTCCAGCACTCGGTGTCTCCCAAAATCATCTCACCACACTCACGCCACACCCGTTGCACTCCTCGGTACCAATTATTTAGACTCCCATACAATCAACCGTCAGTCTCCAAACGTCCTTCGGCCTCCGTCGTCCTTTTAAGCTCCAGATTGTACGCCAGTGGCCAACATGCCGAACGGAGGTGAGCGGTCATCCAACCCAATCTATGGCTAATTATAGTCATCCACAGGCTCGGACCGTATCAGCATCCCTGCGTAGTCCGAGTCGTTTCTCGCACCGGTGCCACTCTTCGCCCATGTTCATATTCATGCCAGCAGTTCAACGTCCAACTTCTTCCAACAGGCGGTTTGCCAGCGGCGTATGGTTCTGATCGATTTTGGCTGTTCATCGGGACAGGCAGCCGTGCTCATCGAATCTCCAGTCTATCGAGGCGTAGCTACGTGAGTACCGTCTCCATTCAGTGACGACAGTCGCGTTGATCCCAGGTTTCAGATCGTGGAGCACAGTAACATTGGGCGACCATCTTGAAAACGGCTTCGCTATTCTCTTCTCCCGCGAGCCTGTCTCCCAAAGGCAGTTTATTTATGGTCTTATCAAGAATTAGCCTAGTATCACAATCTCTTATACTAATTATGCTTCTCCGAAGCTAGTGGTAGATTTTGTGACGTTCTATCTGGGTCGCACACGCAGCAACGCTCTCGTTCTCAGAGCCAGAATTTCTCTTTGTTGTCTACTTCCCGTGACAATCTTACCTCGGTTAATAGGCCATTGCAATGTTTGCACCCGTGATCCACACTGTTCATATCGACCTGACGTCATGTCGGCGCCCGAGACGAACCACGAAATTTGGCAACTAGTTATCGCAGACTCATTTGGAATAGCCAAACTCAAGACATGCTTCTCAGGCTCGCCACCTCTTCTTTCCGTCAAATTGTCAGACGCATTCAAGGGTGAGATCCTTTCATACCGCGCGTGCGGCCACCTTTTCTCATGTGTGCACAAACGTGTGATGATATTGAAAGGAACACTCGAGCTCTCTATCTGCCATTCCTTTCAGGTTCTGTATTTCAAAATGTCACAGAAACAGTCGGTCACGTCTAAGGCCACCGAACGAGAAGAGTTGCAACAGGTGAACCCTAAACCGCGGTTACATATTTTTTTTTGTACTGCGACAACAGACATCCCATCTCAAATAGCGCAAAAAAGCGTTCCCTAGAAGCGCTCTTACGAGGGACACAGTTCTCCAGGGCTCTCCTCTTCAACCATCACCGGATACGCCTGCCGGATTCCGACATTCGAAATGCACTGTATGGCGCCTGCATCCTTGCGTTTTGTACAGGTATGTGGACCCGTGGTGTTGCACAGCATCCTACTTCATTTCTATAACGCATCATGACGGATACAAAGCGCAGAGATGCGGTCAATTGGTTCAAGCTTTTGGAAAGTACGAGACACTATTTCGTACAGAGTCGCACCGGTGTGGTGAGTCGTGCAGCACATGGTCTATAACATGTTATACACTTTCAACCTTGATCTGGAACTGATAACGTGTCCAATGGGCTGATCGTCTACTTGTGGTCATTGAGGGATGTATACGGCTGTGTTATACCATATGATACACGTCTCCGGCTGTTGCGTTCTGGCCTCGCCTCGCATTATGCACGAACTAAAAGAACACTAGCCAGAGCATTGGTTCGAACTGCTACCGTACCCATCACAATGATCAAAGTCCAGTGGACACCAAGACAGACCACAAGCCAATGTACTCCGCACTATACACGAGATACGCTCCAAGCCGCAGGCAGACATCTAAGCTTTGGACGTGGGAGTGTGCAACCTGAGCGTCCCGTGGGGTGATACGTGATTCGATATTCTCCCCGAATGGCTCCCAATCTTTCGTTCCGAAATCAAACACTGGGGTATCGATCTCATCTTACGGAGACCTTGAACGCCAGATCTCCACGAGCCAGCGATTCTGCCTAGTGCCGTATCTCTGCCGCTTCACTATCTTGCTTCGCATTCCACGGTTTCCACAAATCGCGACAGTGCGCTCCGTCGGGCTCGAGCGATGCTTTGCGAGAGACGACTGCTTGCGCAGTAGTGTGGCGCTACTCACGTCATTAGCAGGGTCTTTCATGCCATAAGACACGCATCACGGCGTGGCAATGTTCTCCCAACTGGACACTGCTCGGCGCCGGGCAATGCGTCGGTGATACCAGCGGCCGAAGTGGCTCAAAAGGCGAACGGCTACATTCCACAGTTCTCGTGACGACTCCCAAGTGCGCACATGATCCCCTTCGGATCTTCCATCCCTAGCTGCTAGAGAGTGCTATGCTCACCATTTGTCTTGGGTTGAGGCGTGTCCCAAGTTGTAGGGCGCATGTAGCATAGGTCACCTGAGACGCTAGTGGGACACGTACGTTAACATCATGATGCTTGAGTTCGTCGAGTTCCGACACCGGAGGACCCTGCGAGAGGGATATTTGTTTATCTGTGAATTTTGTTCTGAGTACACGCTAGAAACTGCACAATGTGCATACTATAGAGCGGTACGGAGAAGTGTGGCCACAGATCGATCACATACCTGCAGCCGAGCTCGGGTCCCGGTCCGTCGCGGACTCTCACTGCACAATCTCCGATTATATGACTAACTCCGTCTGCAGGCAAGGACTCAGCGAACATTGCAGGGTTCAAACTCATCATTGCAGGGAATTCGAGAATACAGCGTATTGTACATCAGAGAATATGTGTAAGAAAACATCATATAGTCATTGGTCGTTGCACATCGTGCTTTCGTAAGAGGTATGAATACAAATCATGTTGCTGATACATATCCCGAGATTTCAAGCACTGTCCCTGAATGTAGTATCCTCTATTAGGGCCCGACGACGACCTGTTTCGTCTTGTTGAAATGGGAGATCGTCTCGCTTGATAATCCTAGATGCTCTTGAACGAGCTGTGGCGGGATTAGTGAGAGCCACTGCACAGACAGTAGGTGTCAGTAAGGGCAGCCCAATCACAATACTGTAGAGCCACTCGCACCTGCTGCAGACTAACGTCTTGGAAGATGTCCGTGTTGAAGATCTCAAGGAAGTGCAGCGTGTCATTTCCAATGTTCTCAACATAGTGTCCTGCATATTGCCTCAGTAGTTAGCGCGCGTTGTTGAGAAGTCCGAGTACACGAAGTACGCACCATATGTAGCTGGAACGAAGCCAATGTCCCCTGCCTGATTTCAATATATAAGTGACTGCGAAGCGAGCAATGCGCGACACTCACCTCGTAGTCGAACGTCTGTGCAGTGCCACTAGACGCAAATTCCGTCACTCGACCGGTACCGGAGCTACGGAGAACATGTATGATGAGCAGAGCCTCACATACAGAGGAGCGGCCATGTACTTACATGTAGTACGTCCACTCGTCCTGGGTTGGGTGCCACTGTGGATCCGTTAGTACCCCGTCGTACAAGCCTCGCGCTCGCAACTCACGTGAAGTTCCCTATGTATCGGAAACACACCGTCAGTCAAAGCGTTCGCAAGCTCAAAGCAAGAGATACGCACCGCATTCCTCCGGGTTCGACGGTCACATCTGCGACGGCAATTGTCGTTGACGCCTTGAATGTACGCGAGTCGACGATCTTGACCGAACCGCCAGCGAGCGGCGTGGCAGACATATTCGACATCTTGAACGTGAATGGGTTCGGAACCTGCCCAGCTGGGTCTTTGACTGCAGTCGCATCTGGCGAGGGTGGTGCTGGAGAGGAACCAACACGCGTCAGCGGGCGGGGAAGTTGATGTGGGGTGGGGGTACACACCAGCGGGGAAGATGTAGAGCTCTTTTCCGGGGAGGTTGTTCCATGCGGAGATGGTTGTGCCAAAGTTCTTCGCAATCACCTCTTTCGGGGTGTGCGCGAGCCAGTCTGTGAGCTGGAAGGTCGAGTCTTCGCTAAAGTCACCGTTGTCGAAGACCTGTCGAGGGCGGTGGTCAGAGACATCTCGTGGGAAAAAGAAGGGCGTCTTACGAGGAGGAATTCGCAGCCATCCGGATTCTGGTCCGTGGCTTGCAGGCTGTGGGGGATCCCGGGGGGAAAGTACCACAGGTCGCCTGGGCCCTGTGGGACAGCAGAAGATCAGAACGTATACATCATGAGAAAAAGAAGATGGCGTACGACAGTGTCCAAGTAATTCCGACCGAGTTGATCAACAGACGTGACCTGCACGTAACCCTAATCCCAGTATGTGCGTCAGCGCGGGCCCGGCGCGGAGATCCAATAGACATACGCTAAGTACAAACGCCCACTGCATCGCGGGTTAAGTTAGCGTCCGCACACGAGCGAGAAGCGGCGGAGCGGGGGATACGTACCTCGGAAGTCTTGTGCCAATGAAGCTCCCTGTATAAAAATATTTAATACTAGCTTATCTGGCAGAGGAGGAAGGCCCTACCGGATTGCGCCAGCTTCCAGACGCATATCGACACCAGCCATTGCTGCACCGTGGTCAGCGTTTCTGCTAATTACGCTGCTATCTGCTACTTACAAGTTGCAATGGGCATCTGGTGGACTGAAATATAAAATTAGAATCTACCATATACGAGCGAGGACATAGAGCTCACTGTTCTGTTGACGCGCCCAGCCGCCGGTCTGCAGCCGATTGGAACTCAAGCTGAACGGCCACTTCGCGTTCCCGCCAGGGCTGCAAGTTCCGTTGATCAGCAACTTAGAGCATTAAGCAAATGTACTATCCCACGTACAGCATCCCGCTGTCTGTCGTCGGCGGGGCGAGAAGGTCGGGGTTCTGTTGCTGGAGGGGAATGTTCTGCTCCGCCATAATCGTCGCCCCAAGCGAGCCACGGATGGGCTGGGGGTCTTCGCTGGTCGTCACATTCCATTCCGGGTTGTTCGGGTTGTCGCTCGCGAGCGGTACGGTCTCACTGGCATTTGGGGCAGACGAGGTACCCGACGCGATGCTAGCAGTGCTCGAAGAGGTGACTACGGTGGTTGTGGTAGAGCTGGAGGTCTTGGCCGAAGAGGCGGGGGCAGCGACAGAGGAGGTAGAGAGGAGGATGGCGCAGAGTACAAAAGAGAAAAACCTAGCCATACTGCGAATGTGAATCAGATGAAGAGGACGGGGCCTGGCTCATCCCTCCATAATCCTAGGCCTTTTATAGAGGGTTCCGATGCAGACCACAACAGAGAAATGGACCATTGCCACGCGGTGACTACGGAATGCCAAATTGTGCAGACGAGTGCGTAACGAGTGGAACTTGCACGCTGACCATTTACAGTCTAAATTTAGTGCTGAACCAGATCGGGTGTAGTACTTTGGTGGCGGACAAGATGTCAGATGACGAAAGTGTAAGCTGGAGAGAGGGGCGGCACCAGGCGGCGCGATGGGAGCCTGCGGCTGTTCCTGGGACAGGTTGGAAAATTGGGATGAACTTCGGCAACAAGAGGCCCGGACATTATTCACCGAGATGATCTACTTCGTCTTCGCGCTTCTCTGTACTCCGTTCATAGATGTAGCAGCCACGTAGGCTTCTAAGCTTCACGCGCGACCCTGCCGCTCGTCGGCAACCGTGGCCACGGTGCACAACACTCTGATAACAGCCATAAGCAGCACACAGATCGCTCACAGGATGGCGCACCGTGACTCTCCAATAGCTGGTCAGCTGGAATATTGGTTGTGCCGCCACTGCCTGCATCTAGGGGGCACTGTGACCGACCTGAGGGAGTGGGGCCGTGCCAAAAATAAGCCTAACGGTATTGGTCCGAGTTCCGCTGTTTGCGACGCGGGCTCGGATCTGGATCTAGATTAGAAGACGGCCCCTCAACTTGCCCTCGATGCAAACAAATCCCGACGTCGCGCGTAGCTGGCGATACAGTGGCTACAACTCCGGCTAGCAGGTCGCCCATTCGAGCCCATTACGTGAACGGGTGCTGTTGCATGCGCATCTGTGGTGTGAGTTTGCTCTACTTTCCAGCCGCATAGAGGACGATGATCGCGCCCGGATCGCAAGGTGACCCGTTGGTCCCCGCGGCTGCATCTACGTGCAGCCGGGTTCACCCACAATGCCACACGCGCTCGTCAAGTGACTGACCCCACCACCGTCTTCCACGAGGTTGGTGTGAGCGAGGAGGTAGCCTGACCACGCTATGCCTGTGCTGGCGGTCGATAATTTTCCCTAGCACGGCATTAAGATTCAGCCAGGCACCGCAATCGAATTCATTCATCGGGCAGCCGCAGCCACCACCCCGTACGAAGTCCTCGCCGGCCGCTTCAAAGAGCGAAAGTAGACGAGGACGCGGATGTGTGAGCGATCGCAGGGTTTTTCGGGTCGCGAAAAGCGTGTGGACGCGCCGCCGTGTCGTCGTCGTGTGCTACAGCGCGAAGCCACACTCCACGCGGCTAAGCACTCAGAGGCCCGGCCTGCGATCACCACGATCGCGAGAGGGCCCGAATTGCCAATCGCACGCGCGGGTGGCCACGCAAATGCTATCCTGCGTCGAGGGCGGACCGCTCGACACGGCATCATCTGTCCATCTGATAAACGCGCCATCCCTACACCACAAGCATCTAATCAGCCCGCCCCTCTGCGTCTACCAATCAGGTTGGCCATGGCAACAGTGCACGGCTAGCCTGCGATGTCCGCGACGAATGGGATGGTCGCGCGTCGCTAGTGCGCATCAAGGATGTCACGAGAGTGCTGGAAACACGAGGGCGACATTGATGCCGGAAAACGCGTCACGATGGGACCACTACATACGCCGACAGTGTCGGCGAGGAGGATTCGGCGCGCCAAGGGGGTTTACGCGTCAGCCGACGGTCGCGCTAGCGGTGCTCCAGGGACTTGGCGTAAGAGTAGAGCGCACCGAACGGAAGCGCTCTGTGATAAGTACAGACGCTGCACGAGGTGGAGAATGTAGCTGCGGAAACATGTAGTCCAGGGGATAGCTATCCGCACGAGAAGGCTTGAAAAAATTTGCTCATTTGATGAGGCCTGCAATGGTACACCGCGTACGTCTCACGAAAGGAATAACTGGAGCATCTGATCTCCAGTACACTGATTCAAGTTTGTCGTAATGGGCCAGGGTTGATGGGGTGTGAAATTCGTTGCTGCCCAAAGATTGTTCCGCAGTGTGCGCCACGGGCAGCATGCTGCACAAGTGTTGACGTCCTGTAGCTCGGATACCATGATCCGTTCTATATCCAGGGAAGTTTCGCGTTTTTTGCATTTTCAGCTCAGAATGGTCGTGTTGACGTTCACTCGCGCGCGCATTCTAGCGGAATTTGACCGTGTGTAAGGCTGGGACACCATTTGGAGTGATGATGACAGACCCGTCGCTGTGGGCGCAAATGGCGATGAAGCTTTGACCAATCGGATTAGACTAGTACATAACACCGTCCCTGACAAGCCTATTGGACCGCTCAAACTCAAAGTCGGCACTAACACATGGATGGATATAGTATACTTACAAAAACCCGTAAGTACCCATCTTACAAGCGCTATAGGTCACGACGCACATAATTCGAAAATTGCCAAAACTGAACAGATGCTCCGAGGTCTGCATTGCATTTGCACAGGGCGGCCCGGTCGGCGCGCCCAGGTATGCTTCAGGCATGATGTTCAGTGGTGCGTGCCTGGAGTCAGGATGGAGGGAATGTCGGCGAGAATGATGAGAGCGAGCCGGGAAATGCACGAGCATGCAGCCTGACCAGAGGTACAATACGGATCATAACTCATATACCGCGGTTGGACATTCATATTTCTAGTTCAGAAGACTGGTATACTGTCCAGATGATCTCCGGCATGATAAATTGCGCCGTTCTCGACTCTCGAACATCTGTTGAGTTTCTCACTCCATTACCAGAGGTCAAAAATCTTGCTTCAAAAGTGCCGTTCGAGCCTGTGTGAGATGATGACTTTAGAGACGAAAGGTGTATTTAGGGATTCACGGACCTGAAAACGACAGGACCGTCGTGCAGAAGACGATGAACACGAGGTGTTTACGCCCCACCCCCACGCTGTGACGCTAGAGTGAGACAATAGTGCCCATAAAGAATGCCGCAGAAACGAGACGTTGAGCCTTGAGGCCCGTCGCCGCAGTGCACCATATACGGTATGGAAGATTGTATAATTAGTTGGAACAACTTTTGTGGAAATATGCATATGTTCGAATTCGAAAAAGCCAACCAGAAGCAGGGTCGTGGAGAACGTGCCGAAGAGTACCTTTCAGGTCTGTAGGCTCGCAGAACACGATCTGTATTCCACGACACACCGTCTCTGGGATTATCGGCGGTAGTGGTGGCGAGAATTCTGCGTGTGGAAGGATCGTGTCCGTGTTAACGGGCTATACTTAGTTGCCCTGGAACCGGCATTCTTCAGTATGGCACACGTAGACCTCGCCGTCGTGCGGAGGGTACGTGCAAGATGTGAATATGGAATTGCCGAAGGCAAGCAGCACAGTGGGGCGATGTATGAGATATGACCGGAAATAATGGCGTTTGAACGAGTTTTGCGCTTTGAGAATCCGAATCGCGAAGAGGCCGGGCGAGAACTTGTAGGCGTGTCATCGATCGGGAGATTCTGTCGAAGGAAAGAGTGGAGCGAAAAACGGCCCCGGTGGTGCTCGGGTGCAGAAGAGGCCTCAAGTTGTTCGCGTTCGCTATTGTTAGACAGAGATACTGACTGAGGACGTCACGATCTTGCTGACTTGAGTTCGGCGTGCCCGACATCCCAATCCGAGGACAGCCATGAGCTGAGCTAAAGAATGAGAAGCAGATGAAAATAGACGATTGACCCCGGATCCAGCGAAGTTAGTCGCGGTTTTTACCTGGGGAAATGAAGGAGCGTCAAAGATGTCTGTCTTTCGTCCTTTGCGGCAATGGTGGATTTCTCCCGTTGGATGAACGGGGGGAGTGAGACCCTGTCTAGTAGACTTTCCCCTCAGTCACATGCTCCAGGCGACCCGAGTATGACCCCGAGCTGTGGGTGGGGATGCGGTGTATCTCGTCCGGGGAAGCTTGTGGGATATCAGAACGTCCCATCGCAGAAATCGTCTCTCACTCACTCTGTACATTGCGGCTCCGAGCCGGCACGGTAAATTTTCCGTCCCGCATATTTGGACTAGACTCTGCCACTTGTTGTGAAGAGATCCCGTTACTAATAGTGCCCGACAGAAGAGGGGAATACTATTCAGGCCATGTGTAAGTCCTTTCGAGAATATTACAAAAGATGCACGCACTGTGCAGATCTCACCAAGTCAGTCGGATTCAGGATCTCGCTAACAGTAGTGACAATTAGAGTGCAAATTTTGCACCGTGTCACCACTCAGAAGGAAACATGTATTTTTGGCTGTGCCAAAGATGACGTCCTGTATCCAAGTATACAGTGAGCGTTTTCATATATGCGCGAGGATATAGACAGACGTACCAGCTAGCAATCTAATAGTAGAACATTGACATGAACGTGCACTGGCAGAAGGTATGTCAGAAGACGTGGCGGCCTTCCGTCTGGTAGAAGACAAATGACATATGATCCAGGTGAGTGACCAGGAGCACACGTGCAACATGGCAGCGATGTCTCACCAGTGACCAAAATTCAAACTCATGGGCAAATTTAGGCGTAGAAACGAACTCGCTGATCGCGCCCGGCCAATTAGAAGCCGCATTTCAATCACGTGCACTATCATCAGAGAGGAATCTAATTCAGTCGCAAGGCTGGCTGAAAAATTCGGCTCTTCGTTCTCTCCCTCTTCCATCATCTTCGTGCTTCGAAAGGAGTCCCGTGTAGGCGATCTCAATTTTCCGAAGAGTAGTCTATTTTTTGAAGCCGGGTCCTGAGAGGCTGCACGCACCGCGCGAGGTCTGAAGGAGGTAGAATTATTCCTTCTTCGGGGAAGCTCTGGGGCGCGTCCTCTGCTATCAGGATGATTTAACTCATCTGTTCGCTCCCCTTTTTTTTCAAACATAACTATTGGCAAATGTGGTAATCGTAGTGCGACCGCAAGCTGGAGATCGTATGTCCGCTCACACGTGCCGGTCGTGTGCCAGTGGAGCACTCATACTACTCGTGCCTTGGTCCCGAAATTGTGGATTCCATGCAGGCGACATCGTGTCGTGATGCACCAGCAGTGCTCAAACCTAGCAAGAATATCTAGGGCATAGTCTTCTTCCCGTTGATTTGTTCGGAGGTAGAGGGGCAGCCCTGGTCTTTGTTCACACAAGTGCATCCGGCCCGTTCAAAGCTTGACCATCGTAAACTTCTGGCGGAACTTTGGGAAGGTCATGTTCCCCCGTGCATCGGCGTTCACACGTTCACGTTTATTCCTGGTCATGCCTTCACTAGCACCGAGATGCTATCGATACGAACGGGAATCCGTTGAACATACCCACCCGGCGTAACACTCCCTCTGGTGGGCTTTTTCTCGCGTTACGGACTTTCCTCCCTTTCTGTCCGACAACAGCTACCACGTCTGAGATTATGTACCGCGAAGATCTTTCCCTCTTGCTTGGGACGAATGGCACCATTTACTTCGTGCTATATTTAGCCAAAGCTAGGCTATCAACCTCGTTGTTACATGAAGCCATTAACCTTATTATTTATGTCCCCGCACAGCGCGCACAGCACGCGTGGGGCACTACATCATTCGTGCTGCGGACATGACTGCAAGGCCGTAATGGATGCAGAGTCGATGATGTGGACGTGCCTGTCTAGGCGAGGCGCAAGGATGCCTATTGGCAGCCACCTATCTCGTGTGGAGCGTGTCTTACGGCCAGCTGTAAGCTAGAACACGCTTCGTCTTCTGGAAATAGAGTTTAACAGCAGGTCGGTGATTTCGACCACGAATCGCAATAGCCCCTCGGTCTCCAAATCATCCCTGTCGACTTGAATGAGACTCGTTTTCAAGGCACGGATGCCTATCAATCGCCTTTGGCTGCGACTGCTTCACTTTGCTCGCTTGCGTCCTATGTCATTGCCGACCCGACTCCCTCGTCCTGCTCTAGACCAAGTGCGGGTGCAAGGATAGGAACTTCCCGCTGAGTCCTTCGCGTGTGGGTAGTATGTGGGACAATCGAGCCCAGATAGCGGACGAGTGCACAGCATGATCTTTCGTGGCTGTCCTTTCACGGGATGTCAAGCCAGTTTTCGCACGTCGAATGCAGCAACAACAAGGGCCTCCCAAAAGACTGCGATCTGTCTTTGTTCTGTGAGCAAGCTAGTGTTGTGCATGGATATTCTTGGATTATTGACATCGTGTACGAATAGATTGTGTGCAAACTTGAAGCAGGAGTTGCGGAAGGGCTCGCGTACATCCCCTTCTTCGGACCTTCCTCCCGCATTGCTCTCAGGGCCATGCCACATGCGATACGACTTCAAAGGTTGCGACATCGCAAACGCTATTCCAGGGAAGACATTCCCCGCCTTGGATGATATACTGGGGTGTCGGCCCGGCTAAGTACCATGAAGACAGAGCACGAAGTGATGAGACAGGGAAGGGGGCCACTAGCCTGTGACGTCTACGAAGCGTTACAGATGTTCTGTTCTAATCATGCCTCCCACAATCTCTCCAACCCCAGAATTCGTCGGATCGTGCTGCAGGATGAAGATCACTTCCCACAGGTTTCGACACGCAGAAGCAGTCTAACTCACGTTCTGCGTTATCGGCACTAGCACATCACTCTGGCTGCGCGACTCACGGATATCGAGGCTTTGTGAGCCAGACAGTCCCATCTGCGCATGTGGGATGTGCATGTGGACTTCTTGCAGTAGAAGTGTGGTCCCTCTATCCCAGACTCCTCTTCTAGATGCACTCTTTCGTCGAGCTCCGCTTAGCCTACGCCGTTCGGTCTCCTTCAGAAAGGACTCACGAACACCGCCTCTCGTGTTAAACTTTGGCCCTCGTGAGACCCTGGTACCATACGCAGTTGACTCGGATCTGTTGTGTTTATGCATCAAGCTGGCCCCAGTGTGGTCGATTCTCTACCAGTCGCAGGAAAAGCTCCGCACAGGTGTCCAACACACACTTGCTCTCCCTCGATTCTTCCTCTTCGTATGCACGACAGGACTCAGTGGCGCTCTAAGTAGGACAAGCAGGACGTCTGGCAGGGTGGTGATTGGCTTTCTGCTTGCGACTTGTTCGTCTTGCCTAGTGCTGGACAGCCCCTCTACGAGTAGTGTTTCTTTCTTGCTGCTACCAATTGCCACTCGCCCATTGGTCCGCGGACGGAGTCGCGCAAGTACACTCAGTGCAACACCTTGGGGCTGCGTACTCTGCCCCGTCACTCGCGAGAATTGTACTGCGATTGTCTCGGGACGGAATAGTTCTTACCCTTCATGATCTTACGGTCGATTGTCTGCCTCCGCCATGACTCCACGTGTGCAGGTAATTATTATGTTACGCATTTAGCTGAAACTCCTCCATTCTGACACGGCTCGCACTATGAATTATTGCAGCAATTTTCGTCAAGGTCAGGCAGGGTCAGGCAAGGGTCAGGCACATATTCCGATCGAAGTTAGGCCCGTTGGTGCCGGTCGGATTCATTTGGAAAGATGTTGAGTAACCGCCTGCTTGACGGCTCAATGTTGTAGTGACATCTCTCAAAGTGAGGTTTTTACTGTAGCCGAGATGCAATATCTCTATTGATCGGTGATTGCGAGCCTGAGTCCGCGGTGTGGGCTCGTCGACTGGGATAAGCGCCCTCCGCGGCTTTGCGACAGACCCATGGCGCAACGCACATTCAGTTCAATGTGAAGTTCAAATACCTCTGAAGCCGGGTCCACGAATATACCCGTCTGCGTCATGTAATCTGACACGACGCCTGTCACTCAAGCAGGTCTACAGCGAATTGTAATGACCGCTATATAATACAGATGGGGAAGTTGGAACCGGACTTTCAAGTTATATTTGCTTAGTGCAGCCATCGATTTTGTAGCAATGTAAACCGAACTAAACATATACGCAGATGGGCAATAACGTACCTCATATTCTCAGACTTCGCATAAGTCTCCGTGACAGAGACTACTAACGAAAAACGAGATGTAGCTGCTTAGCGCAAATAAATTGACGAAGGCCGCTTGACAGTCATCGGATACCCTCAAGGAAAGTGTTCAGCTCCTTTCCGTGCTATTCCCCATGTGTACGGGTGCCAGTTTTCGAGGTAGAACATCAGATTTCTATTGAAATAGTCACCGTCGACAGTTTAGTACACAACGCTCAAGTGTAAACGTCTCGAAATTTTTCGATGCCCGTCTATAGAATTTTCAGGGTCCAGGCTGTAAGGTCTCGATGGCCTTGCGAGTCGGATAGATCAGGGACAAGCGTGAGTTGAACGTTGCATGTCTATATGTCTAACCATCTTGAACCACTGGATTTGCTTGGCTGAAGTCCAGTGTCGTATCTGCCAGTATGTGCCTAAATATTTTCCAATTTCGTTAAGAGGTATTTGCGTCACTTCCATATGCACCCAAGCGGTGCGCACAAGGTGAACTAATTGCTCATTCTACTGTGGTCTTGTGTTAGTGGGCGCTACCGGGGCAGATTGTCAGAATGAGGGTGCTGGACAAGATAGAAGGATACTTACCCAATTACACTCGCTCCACGCCGCGTGTCCGTTCTCGCTGCAGTTTGAATGCACTCTGCAATCAGACAGAAATGAGTAGGATGGTATCGTCCTTTAGAAACTCATGCTTTGAAATATTCAACTGAGAAATACGCACACCACTCATTGTTAGGTATGAATGGTTATCGTCATGCCGTCTATCCCTTGGTCGGAACAGCTCGGAACCATCTGCTCACGGCCTGCTTGACGGTATGATCCCGAGGAAGACCCCGCAACACTGCATCGCCATGAAGCTAGACTATATCAGAAATTACCTCACCATTATTAGTTGTTAGCAGCGCGAACGTGTACAAGCTCTGCTATGAAGCTGTAATCATTCTGCCACCATTCCAATGTCACGTCCAAAGCATTCCGGTTATGAGTTCTCGCCCGAGATAGTGATCAATCTCTCGAGTCTCCATTTCCGCTGATACTTTGGAAAGCTTGAACTAGCATCGAGTTGGTCGTTTCCATAGCTTTCACCATTGCTTGTCAGCAGGACCGTGACAGTCTGAGCCTGGGTGTAGTTCCGGCGACCTGGCAATGGTACAAAAAGAGTTAACCACGTATTCAAAGATGGAATTTGGTACCCGCACAATAGTAGAGCATCAATCAACGATAGAACACTGTTCGCGTGTTCCGACAGTTGATACTTGTCAGTGATAAGTAGGTAATCTCAATCTGAATGGTCCAGAGCAAGTGCCGCTCACACGAATTAGTGAGACGGTCTAAGTCGGGTTTAAAAGATGGTCATAACATAATAGCCATGTGAGTGCAATTTGGGGCCCGCTCTCGTCCTTGCTGATGCAGTGAAGAGAATGAAAAGGCTTTGACATAATTGTCCCGTATGCTTTGGCAAGCCGAATCCAAGTCGAATCCTTGCTCGAACATCCGCGGAGATTCCAGTTCCGACCCGGTCCGTCTCTCTCAACCAACCAGCAAGGAATGTTTTCATCCCCGCCAACCTCCGATTGGGCGTGCCACAAACTGGGGGCCTCACAACTTGTCGTGAGAGTCGTTCAACTGAGAGTTATGCGCAGACCCTGTCTCTCTGATCTCCAGTTAACTACCACGTCTCATGCACGGTAAATGGTATTTCTCTAGTAATCCAGAATGAATTTCCAATTGCCTAGCATCTGTACACAACATTATATAGATGCATGAACTTGCAGTGGATGTTCAGGCTCAAACTTCCGAGCTCTAGCTAACCGCGTGTTCAGCAAGATACACTACCTTCGGTGAAGTTGACGACTCGCTCTGTATGAGCCGATGCGTCGCATCTCGTGCCATGTGAGCTTGTCTGATTTTCGCGTCACAAGGGTCGTAATCCGAAGCCTGATCATCGCTGATCAGTTCGCAGCTGCAGCATAGTATCGCTTACCTCTGAGTTTTCTGGTGAGCGTTGGGAAACATTTCTGTCACTTTAGGCCATTTACCAATTGGCTCGTTACGGCTCTTTCAGAAGGGCGAGAAACGAGGCGTTCCAGGTGTCCCTCGTTCGGTTGACCTTGTGGAAGGAGCCTGGACATCGCGTTCTTAGGTTTTCAGCACTTCAGGTTGCTTTTCGGTTTCTCGATTTGAAAAATTCACGCCAGCACATAGCCCTATTTTTAGAACAGGAAAACATTCCAGTATGGGCATACTACGACGAGGTTCCTTAGTCGATGATCACCCTTCGGAGACACGAATCTTCTGACTTCCTCATTCTTTTCAATGCTGCGCTTTTTGACCCTGAACAACATCTCATAGTGACCGGCTGGCTGTCCGCGAAGTATCATGGGGTCATGCAAGCGGCACGAAGGGATCTGAGGATCCGCCGTTCTTTGAGCTGATAATATGATCCGGCTCAAACGAATCACAAGACCTTCAGAATTATGCAAACTCCCACCAAGATCCTTGCAGTCGATCTCTGTGCACCCTTGTCCATAAGTAGGCATAGTATTGGTGTATATGTCCAGCCTACCATTTACTTTTGCGACCGCTGAACTCGTGGGTGCTTTTACCAGACGCACAAGACTCTGCGGAGGCAATTCTTCCGGAAGGGTTCTTTCTAGCATCCGCAGACTCTTCTTGAGAGACAAAGTGCTACTGATTTTATGGGCTATAACGCGCATTCACCTCGTGTCTATGTGGGGACGTGCCGTATATAAGGTGCGTGCCATGAACGAGGACAGACCAAGTTCCATCTGACTCTACCTCAACTGGCAGAATAGGACACCTCTCCCAGCTAACGATGGTCAACTTATTGTGCTTTACACTATGTGTTATGCTCCTTTTTACTACTGCAATTGCCGCGCCTGCGCCTCTGAGCAAGAGGGTCGTTTCTAGCACAGCGTCTGCGATCCCTGCCAGCGAGACCGTTCTCCCAGCTAGCGATAGCGCAAACAACGTGATGTGGAATCCAGTCGCCGGTACCGGCGCACGGCCTGCCTCTAGCAACACCTCGACCACGGAACATCAACCTATTCGTGGGGCGCTCGGTGCGACGATAGTGGCTCAACAGAATAAAGCCCTTCAGCAGCAAAATCCGGATGCGCTCGCACCGCCGACAACCGATAGTGGCGTGATGTATGTCCATCCTCTTTGAAACAATGCATGCTGGAAGTTAACGCGTCTATGGAACAGCCCGGGCGGTAACATCAAATGGCCGATGAGCTTGAGCCCGATACGACTGCAAACGGGCGGTTGGGCCAGACAACAAAATAGTAGGTGGCTGAGTTTCCTCAGTCGATTCATGTGTCTGATATACTCTACGCATCCAGTCAAACAAATGCCTATCGCGACCTGTAAGTGGTGTCGAGTGTGATGGAATCTGGACCATCGCCCATTTGAATATATTTTAGCTATGGCCGGCGTGAACATGCGACTCGAAGCCGGTGCAATTCGGTAAGTGTCTGCCTATCTCGCTGGCAAACTGGAACCTCACGTTCTTCGTAGGGAACTTCACTGGCACAAGACAGCCGAAGTCAGCAGTGTTTTTCCTTCATAAATTCCTCGTTCGTGACCTGATTGTTCCTAATGCAGTGGGCGTATGTCCTCAGTGTGCGTGTATTTGATATCCCGGATAGGTAGGTGGATATTGACAAATTTGGTACAGGGTTATCTTCAAGTCACCGCGGTGGACCAAGATGGCCAGAACTACATGGGCAATGTGGTGAGTCATGGCATCGTGATAATCCGTATCTCGTTCATATCAAATACGCTGACCTTACAGGGCCCCGGTGACCTATGGTTCTTTCCTCCTGGAATTCCTCATAGCCTGCAAGCAACAAGCGACAATCCCGACGGTGCCGAATTCCTGCTTGTGCGATGTTACCCGTTCCTCCGCCTGTCTTTATCTTACAATTTTGCAGGTATTTGATAACGGCGACTTCAGTGATGACTCAACCTTCCAGCTCACGGATTGGCTTGCGCACACGCCTAAGGAAATTCTCGCGAAGAATTTCGGCACTACTATTGCCGCATGGGATGACCTTCCTGGCAAGCAGCTCTACATCTTTCCCGGTGGTATGTTGTTCAATGTTGATATAAGTCATCTATTCATAAGTCTACTCAGTATCTCCTTCTTCTGACGCTTCGACAGTCGAAGACCCTTTAGGAGAAGTACCGAACCCATACACATTCAAGATGTCCAACATGACGGCAACACAGCTCCCTGGTGGTTCAGTTAAGATAGTCGACTCGCGGACGTTCCCTGCCGCATCGTCGATTGCCGTCGCAGATGTAACCGTCGAGCCTGGAGCAATGCGGTCAGTGCAGCCTTTGATACTGTTGACAATTTCTCACATACAATGTATTCAGAGAACTTCATGTACGCCTTTCTTATCGGTACTTACTGTCCTTATAATGTCGCTAACAGACGAGTAATAGTGGCACCCGACTCAGGATGAATGGACATATTTTCTGCAAGTCGCTTCTCGTTGCTCACTGTAAGAGTCAACTCACCATGCTTATATCAGGTCTGGGAATGCACGAATTACAGAGTTTGCGTCGAGTAGCATTGCTCAAACATATGACTTTCAGGTACGCGATCTTTAATTTCCCTATCTGAGCTTCCTCGCTGACCACGCGTAGGCGGGTGACGTTGGATTTATCCCTGCAACATATGGTAAGCCGACATTGCAGCATTCACCATCAGTGTAACTGACTTTCTGTCTAACACAGGGCATTACGTTGAAAATATCGGCAATGACACACTGCACTTCCTTGAGGTTTTTAATACAGGTATGATGGAGCTTGATTGCTCAACTCTTGCTGACATTGATCCCTGCAGATGTTTTCCAAGATGTAAGCCTCATGCAGGTTCGTTGATTGTGACTTGTTACTGCATGTGGTAAATGTTTGAATGGTGCTGACTTATGGTTCACAGTGGCTCGCGTTGATCCCACCCCAGCTTGTGCAGGCGCACCTGCAAATCTCAGATGAGATTATCACGAGCTTCAAGAAGGCGAAACAAATCGTTGTAGGGCCGAATTGATGGCATAACGCCTCTGCGGGGATAGACGTGAGGAATCGGTGGATCAAGATCACGCATAGTATACCTATTGTTTTCGTACTTCGTTGTTACCCACTAGCGCATGACTTGAACGATAGGGAGTGTTCACTCAATTTCTCTTGTTTACTAAGTATTATATGCCCCCATTGAGGGTCCGGCACAACGCTGCTATTACACATCTACTAGTAAGTAAGTGTGACGGTGTGGAGCGCGTGGCTGAGAACCTGGGCTCCGATAAATTTAGAGTTTAGGGATGTCCATTTTTGGTAATAGTCTCTTGACGCGAACGGCTGGACTTGAGCTCCCTGTTCGTTTACAACCGACCTTCATCCCTCACGCGACCTGCGCATTATCGTGTTCATGAGATGTCCGAACCACCAACGGGTGTCCCTAAGCTTGAAACTACAGAAGACACGCCGTACGGAGATGTGGATGAAGACAAGACTCAGCCCGCAGAAGACATTCTGAGCGTGCTCAGACAACTCAACCCTCAATCGTTGGGAGTGCTGAGCACCAGCAGCAACCCGAACATTGGCAAACAGGGAGAATCAAGTTTGCCGCCACTATCAGAGTGGGACCAGCTGCGTGCTCAACTGCGCGAAAAGCCCTTTGATGCCGACTCCTGGCTGAAGCTCGTCGACATCGCAGAAGACTCGGCTGATATCGAGAAAATTAAAGAGACTTATGAAGGACTGCTCGAAGCGTACCCAAATACTGTTCGCAAGTTCTCCGTGTGTGTGTGTGCCTAAACTCGTCTCACCGTTTGTCCAGTCATCAGCGCAGATTGCCTACCTCAACCATTTCTTAGGTGACCCGGAAACTTTCGGCTTCGCGGAGACGCTATTCAAGAGATTCTTGCGGCCATCATCGTCCGCAGACTTGTGGAAGTTTTACCTCACCTATGTCAGGTCAGTCAGTGTACCTGTAGTCTGATCAACGTCTCATGAGACCACAGGAGGGTGAACACCGGCCTCAGTGCACGCGAGATCATTAAGAAATCGTATGAATATGCACTCAACCATGTTGGACAGGACAAGGACAGTGGTGAGATATGGACGGACTATATACAGTTCCTCAGATCCGGCGAAGTGCGCTGCTTGCCGCATTCACCTATCCATCTGCTTGCTAACATATGCTTTAGACCACGACAACCTGGGAGGAACAGCAAAAAATGGACACGGTCCGTAAAGCGTACCATCGTGCGGTTCAGATTCCGATGGAGAACGTTAAGAGATTGTGGGAGGAGTACCAGGATTTCGAGAACGGACTGAATAAGATCACTGTGAGTGGTTGCTAAACATGTATGGATCCTACTGTGACTAATATCGCCTAGGCCAAAAAATTCCTTACAGACCTTCAAGCAGGACACATGCAAGCACGAACCGTCTTGAACCAGCTCCAAGAGCATCTCACTGTTTTGTTCCCTCCACCCCCGCCTTCCAGAACATCTCGGCCTCCAATATGGCTCCCCCGACAACCAACTTTTAACGCAGGCGATCGCGCGTTAATCCTCAGATGGAAGGCATATTTGAAATGGGAAGAAAGTAACCCTCTCGAGATCGAGGAAAAGGACAAAACCATCCTTACTGGACGCCTGCAGGGGGTGTATCGCAAAGCAGTTGTTCGAATGCGGTTCTTCTCGGAAATCTGGTGAGTTCTAACTCGACCAACTCGACTAACTTCAGGAGTGGGGCTCATTGTATACGTAGGTACATGGCGTATGCGTGGACGAATAGTATCGGAAAGGGCGAAGAGGCGCTCACTATTCTCAAAGCCGGAATTGAAGCTAATCAAACAAGGTATTTCTACGATTCGTCAGGCCTCGGAGATTTTCTTAACAGCTATCTTGTAGTTTCGTTCTCAACTTTGCATACGCCGAGGCACAGGAACAAAATCAAAGCTACGCAGAGGTGCATGTAACGTACGAAAAGTTCTTGCAAGTGCTCTTGCGTGACTTGGAAGCAGTTGAGAGTCGATTACAATCCGCTAACTCGTCCTTCTCCTCAACGACATCTGCCGCGCCGCCGCCCAATCTCTCTGAACCTGCGCCCACCTTGGGCCTTCCTCTCCCTGGCATTCAGTCACAAAATTCGTCTTTCAATACGCAGGTGTCGGACGAGAAGCCGTCGAAGAACAAGGAGCTTATGGAACGCCGCACTGATTACGGTATCGCATGGATAGTGTATATGCGGTTTGCTCGCCGCGCAGAAGGATTGAAATCCTCGCGGGCAGTCTTTGGTAGAGCAAGGCGGGAGCGGCTGATATCTTGGGAAGTATTTGAGGCTGCCGGTACGTCTTTTGAATACCTTAGAAAGGTTCGGTTGTTTCTTGACACGGTGTAGCCCTGATGGAATACCATTGCACGAAGGCGCTGGATGTTGCCAGCAGGATCTTTGAGAAGGGAATGGAGACGTTTCACGATGAGGTGGAGTTTGTGCTTCGTTACCTTGGCTTCCTTATATCTGTCAATGACGAGAACAGTAAGTCAACTTATGCGATTTTGCAGATATTTACCTGAAAAAATTCCACTGATAGATGCTCGTGCGCTGTTCGAGCGAGTCATCGGCACCTTTAAGCCTGAGCAGGCACGTCCACTATGGGAACGTTGGGCACGGTACGAATACCAGTTTGGCGATCTAGCTGCAGCGCAGAAGCTGGAGAAGCGGATGGCGGAGGTATATCCACAAGGCTAGTAGTGTCATCTGCTGGTGGTCAACGTCCTCATATCATATCATTTTCAGATCCGGCAATAAAGCGCTTTGCTGAGCGCCATAAGTACTTGGGCACAGATGTTATCGCAGCGCGTGACCTCGGATATCCTACCGCCCGTCAAAACAGTCTCGTGGGCCGTTCAAATGGCTCGTTCGGAAAAACCGAGACCCAGCAGTCCGTTGTGTCGAATCCGCCTTCAGGAACACAACAGATCGCACCGAGCTCGTCCACGAAGAGGGCGCAGTCTCCTGAACACAGAAGGCGCGATGAGGGCCGTGGAGACTATGGTCCTCCACCCAAGCGGCAGCGGCCGGGGTCACCTCCGGGACGTGATCGTGATCGCGATCGCTGGGAAGGTGGTCCGCCGCGCAGACGACATGGCACGCCACCGTGGGAGCGCGAAAGAGACAGGGATGGCCCTCCGCCGCGAAGATTCAAGGAGGAACGAGACGAGGAGAAGCCTGTGGTGCTCCCGCCTGTGCTGTCGTGGTTCGTGGGTATGTTGCCTGCCCCCACCGCGTTCGATGGTATATTCCCTTCTAGTTAGTGTCAGCCTCACATGTTGACTTGTATTGTCCACCCAGGTCCAGTGTTTAGGACGGATGATTTGATGCAGGTATTCAGGAATGCTGTGATCCCATCGAGCTCAAGCATATCGAGGGCACGCTCGCCACCCCCTCCGCCGCGTGGAGGTAAGCTTAACTGGCCATTTGACTAGGCTGGAGTTCTCATGTCATTGCTACAGGAGGACGGCCTCCTCCGGATTATGGTCCGTACCAAGGCCCCGGTGGACGTCGAGGACGATATTAGTTAAATGGATACTATACCGTAATGTTGGAATCCCGTATATTTGAAGCCTTCTTACGCAATGACATACTCAACGCGAAGATTGTTGCAGCAGTATCTGCTTCCCCGTTGATTGCGGTGTTGACATCTCCTACCATGATTTCTTAATGCGCTGGGGTAGACGGGCTTCTGCTCCGACTCACTGGACTCGGTCCAGGGATCAAAGCCTAGACTCATGTATGTACCTTCCCAATTTACTCAGGGAAATGTGGTTATGCATGACATATGAGACTCATGTCATGTGTTCTCGACCGGTCTCTACTTTATCCATACTTACCGATCCAACTCTCATAAGATCAACCTCGAGCTCTGGGACAGCTATACCCACTGAACCTCGAAATTTCTAACCCAGTCATCGGTTACGTTGTTCTTTTGTGACAGGCTTCTCGTCCACGTCGCGCTCACCACACGAGCTGGAATAACTTTCTTTCTGTATCGGTATTTGTCAGACACGGCCCTGTCTTGTTCAAGATGGCTTGTTAGAATTGCTACAAATCTGTTCTTGATTCTGTCAGCGAGTGCATGCTATCTCCCTCGTTGTGGATGACGCGCTCGCAGCATATCCTCCATACGAGGTGCGTAGACTCCTACATCAGAATTTCATAAGACTTGTAGTTCCCTATTGACTATCTCCCGTTAGGGCCGGGTGTTATTGTTGCACTGCATCTCAGGATATCTCCAAAGGTTAGCAAAGTTCGTTTGTCCCACCACTCACTGGCATCCCACAGCGCTTTCGCCAGAGTCCAGACTATCCGCTATCCCGGGACATTGCATTAGTAGGTAAGTCCGTATTCCCCGTCATTCACAGAAATAACAGTGCTGCTCCTGCGGATCCGTCGGGAGAGGCTGGACCGGAGCCGAGACCACTTCGCTGATGGCTGCGTGCACCTCGGCCATCGCCGGGTTGTAGAACTGGACGGTCTGGAACCATGCCGCTGGCGCGTCAACCGGGTCCCACACCGCTTCAAGGTAAGGTAGGTGAGGCCCCAGGAAAAGACTCGCCGCCGTCTATTGTATATAAATCACCTTGGGTGGCCTCCGTGGAAGGGGCCCTATAGCAAAGCGACGTAGCATTATTTGCAATACTCGAGCTTTCCTGTCACCTCCCGTGCTTGAAATGTCCGGTCGCCCAGATAGTCTTTTCTCTAGACCCAATTCTGCTAGTCAGCAAAACCGTAGCGACATACGAAACTACCGTAGTTTCCTTCATCCACCGCAATCGAGTCCCTCCCAGCCAAAGCTCATCCCATTTCCAGGTTTGTGAGCTTCGGATACACTGGATACGACGTGTAGATGAAAGCTCATATTATGGCACGCTGTACATAGTTCCAAACACTTCTTTCAATCCCCCGGTACAATTTCGAATACAAGGTCAAGGTCAATGTGATCATGATATTGAAGACTATGGACACCAACAATGGTCAGACACCACTGGTAAGTCCAGTAGTTTAGTTGCATGAAATATATATAAAATCCCTCCGCTTACACGGTACTTCTCCAGTGCCGTTACAGTATATTCCCCGTTGCTTACCACTGCTACCGCAAACGCACTCCGGCGCGTGTGACTCGCCCGAGGCTAGCGTCCGCAATGAAGTACTTGTCCCAATTTATTCTCCGTCGCATGGCTATAGCCTACACAACGAACAACGTTGCTATTTATTTGAGGCTGTCGATCCTGGGAGTCTGCTATGCGCGCCTCCATCTCAGTGGTTCAAGTCGTTCGCAAATGACAAGCATGAGCAAGCCTCCCTGTCATTGTATTGTTCTGGTCATGTCAGCGGTGATTCGCCTTATCAACGGGACTCGTCCGCGAGGTCGGCTCCAGCTCCAGCTCCAGCTCCTCCTTTGTCTGCCAAACAAAAAAGGAAGCTAGTGAATCCCGTGCAACTGAAAGCACTCAATGAGGTTTACGTGAAAACGGCGTATCCATCGACTCAGGAGCGGGCACAATTAGCGGAAAGGCTTAATTTACCCATCCAGAGAGTGCAGATATGGCAAGTCGCATGTTCATTCTACGACTTTGGTACATATTGCTCATTCGCTGCTGTCATGGCTTTAGGTTCAAGAACAAACGACAAGGAACGCCTGGGGATCCTCGCCTTCTAAGGAGATCAGCTCCTACATCATCACACCCACCAATTCTCCCAAAGCTGGATGCTTGTGACACAATTTCTCTCGCAGGGCTATGTGACCTTGATCCGTTAGACGTTATCCCGACAAATATTGATCAGGCATATCCTACGACATGTTCAACGAAAGTGCTGCACCATACGTTAGCTCATTTGTCAAGTCCACCCCCAGCCATATTGACTTATGGTCCATATGCTCTAGACGAGCAGAATCATGCCCTCGAAGAGTTTTTCCTTCAGTCCGAAAGAAACCAGACGCTTCTCAAATTGGGAGACTGATTTCTTTCGGCTGGCGGTAGCCGAGATAGTACAAGAAAACTTAGCCCCAACTCTGGGTTTGAAGCGTTAGCATTATGCAACTAGTGACTTGCAGTCGTCGTTCATATTCTATCTGTAATTTATACCCTGCTTCCCTTACTCCGTCATGTTTTGCTCGCTGTTATTGTGCTTTCTTGGTTTCATCTTGCTCTCGTCACCGTCTCAGTTTGTTCCATCTCACATCCACTATACCAAGCTACGTGATCACCTAACATTATAATATAGTACCACTGGCAGCTGTGTTGCGTATACAGCTAAACATAACATATGCAACACCACACCCAACATGTCTGCTATCAATAATAATCAAAACACGGGGCTCAAACACGTACGCTCATCCGCAGGCTGAATATTACAGATGCGCCCCCCCTCTTCACCGTGAGTACGGATGATATTGATGCTGTCCGCGCTGCCCTGCTCGCTGAGGTCCAACCCCCGCGGGCCCGGCACCACCCGCCACCGTTGCTGCTCGAGGGCCCCGAGGGACGTTGGGACCCATCCCACCAGCGCCGGGTGCGCCCATACTTTGTCCACGCCCGCCACCCATCCCAGGGGCACCGCCCATAGTCATGTTGCTCATGTTATTCATGCCCATTCCAGGCATGCGCCCGCCACCGGCTCCCACACCAAACCCGCCTCCCTGTCCTCCGCCCATCATCTGGCCCATGCCCATGCCGCCCATCATTGGGTTCATGCCCATCTGCTGCATCATTCGTGTGTATAGCGACGCCAACGCCTGCGGATCGAAAGACGCATTGGTGCCCATCGCTGCGGCTGGTGCCCCACCGCTGTAAGCACCACCCTGCGCCCCGTATACGCCACCTCCGCGGCCCTGGCCACTGCCTTCAACAAAACCTTCTCGCTGTGAGCGTGGCTGTGCGAGCTTTACGTCGATCTGTGTGACGCGTAGATGAGGATTAGCGATACAGCGACCTGATCGTAACACGTACCAGCTTGCCGTCGATCTCGAGGTTTCCAAACCCGAGAAGTGGCTCAACGTTGACGTTCTCAAACGAGACGAACCCGAAGCCCTTGCTTCGGCCGGTCTCCCGGTCCAGCATGACCGTTGCATCGACGACCTTGCCGAACTGCGAGAAGAAGTCGCGCATTGATTCCGAGGTCACGCTCCCCGCGAGGCCGCCAATGAACAGTTTCGTCGCCCGTTGGTGTTCTTGCCGTGGAATCGCACGCTTAGGGTCAATCTGCAGACGGTGTCGTTGAATGGACAGCGGCGAGCCAGCATGCTACTACGTACGATCTTGCCATCGAGAAAGTGCTCGCGCACCATCACTGCGTTCACCGACGCCGGATCTTCGAACGTCAGGAACGCGAAGCACCGCGACCGCCCTGCGGCGTCTCGCATGATCGTACACGCTTCTACCTTTCCGAACTGTGAAAAGTACTTGCGCAGCCCCTCTGTGCATACTCTATTTAGCGCTACCGTACACCACGCGAGATAGCTAAGAACGCATATGCACCATCTGTAGTGTCCCAATTCAAGCCGCCGATAAACATTTTGCTGTCGTCATCACAGCAGCGAGCAGGCATTGGTGGAGTGATCGAGGCAGGTCGCATGGGATAGATAGAAGCACAAGACAAAGACTGATATTAGCATCGGTAGCCTAGAACAGGATGCAGGACGGCAGAGAGATGGATGGACGACTCTACTGTGCGCGACTGTAGCGAAGCAGTGCTAGCCTAGCTTATCGCTGCTAAGACCTAGGAATGCAGTTGTTCTAGACGCTAGAGCTAGTCGTAGGCGACAGATGACTACCGCAGGAGACGGACAATGCTACGCCCGCCACCTTGTCCCTAAACCTAGGTCCCACCCAGCACAGCGAGCGCACTGCAGGGGATTAGTCGTCAGGGGTAATACAGACACTCACCCTTCCTCCTTCATCTCTGACGGACGCACTGGACGATCAACTGGTCCGTCACCACTATAGTCCTGGCGCGGAGGTGGTTCTCGGTATTCAGGCGTCTGTCGTTCCTGATATGTTGGAATTTGCTGCGTGGGTGGTGAGGTGTATGAAGGGATTGATGCCGGTATTGCATCTAACGTCTCAGGATTGGTCTCTTGCAATGATTCCTGTTTGAAAGATTGAGATGCAGGTTCCTGCTTTACGGGTTGAGGCTCATGAACAGATTCTTCGGGCTCCGGTCGCTCGTCGGGTTGCTCTGTTGGCACAGCGAACTCGGATTCGTCGTTTGCGTAAAGATCTTCAAGATATTAGTATTTCCAGCACAACATCAAGTCAATGATCAGCAAGCGTACTCACCGCCATACAAATCCGCATCGAGGTCCGTCATGATCCCAACAGTGCAGAGATGAGGGTAAGAACAACGAAATGCGAAGTTGGCGCATGGTTAATAATTTTCTCGGCAGTAGCCGGCCGGAGATAAAGTCGGAGTGCTCCCTCGCAGTACAAATCCAATATGCCGCGCATTCCGAGAGATTCTCCGACTGGAATACTCTCGGCAGTAGCATGGGCCTGTGGCTGAGAGCCCAACGAATTAGCAAATATTGTATTCAGCAGGCTCTTTCCTAGACGGACCTTTGCAAATACCCATGCCAGTGAGAGAGAATCAGTACGAAAAAAATGAGAAAGCCGACCAGGCGTCGCGCAGGCAATATCTGACGATGATGGTTGTAGAAAAGTGACTTCGTTCCTAAGCTATAAGTGGAAACCTTACCGCCCATGGATGCACATCACTATTACCATAACACTCAGCATCTCTGGATCCAATGCCTTTGAGAGGATCAGGCCACTCAAATGCTGTGCTGGACGATGCCCCATATTTCACATCCCTGGCTGAACTGGATGTGTGGGCCTCAAAACCTTCCGCGAAACTTACTTCCGTAATACCCTACCACTCAAGGAGTCAGGATTTATCTGCCGATGGCCAAGGTCGACTTCTGGTATAGTGCTCTATTTTGAATGCTTCTCAATGATGTTAACAGTCGAACCAGGTGTGTCATGATTACAAGGTGAGCTCTAGTCAACTGATCCTTCTCGAGTCGTTTGAAGCAATCACTCTCTGACTGGTATGATTTTCATAGGGTGGTTATACCGAGGCGCCTTCGAAGCTCGCGTATACTTTCAATTTCTGGTCCCGATGTGACACATTCATCTAGTAAGTACTAGCAATCATCTAACTCTCACCGTAGCTACAGCAGGGAGAGTAGCTTCTCCCATCATCGTGTAACGATACCCCCATCCGGCTGGATAAACGCTGCCCATCGACAGGGTGTAAAGATGCTTGGCACCTTGTGAGTGATATTGTCTGTTGAATTGAATTGAAGCAATATATCGTCCATGATAATCAGAGCCCTGTCATATGTTGATCCCTTATATTAGCGCCACCGAAGTCTGCATTTCTAATGTCGTAAATAGTGTGTATTTGTATCATGATCGCGATGGCTTTCCAGCTTTATGTTTGCCCTGGTATATTTCGCACTTAATGATTCTGTCTGGGTTTCTGTGCCGTGCTGTGAAATCCGTTCTTGCGCATAGCACTGACTTCGCGCCCTCTTTTAGGATTTTCGAAGGATCTGGACAGTCGGATTGCTTGCGACTCCTGGTCGGACTCCTACCCCAGGCGGGCCCTGGGATGCGATCTTCGGACACATCACTACCTCTGTCCCCTCACTACGCACGTTTGCTTGCAACTTTGGCATACCAACGAGGATTTGATGGATACTTGCTAAACATAGAATGTCCTCTCATTGGGAATGTAGAACAGACACAAGTGCTGGCGGCGTGGATATCCTTACTGGAGGGCGAACTGAGACGTCAGGTTGGAACCCATGCGCAAGTGATATGGTACAACATCTCGTGTTGTCTTCCTTTCCCTATATTGACAATCTTGCTGTTGTTAAAAGGTACGACAGCGTGGTTGTGACGGGGGATCTTCGGTGGCAAAACAGGTTGAATAACTACAACCTTCCGTTCTTCCTTCCATCGACTGGTTTCTTTACCAACTACACAGTGAGCGTATATACTTAAATGTCTTTCTACGAGGCTCGTCTGATTTAAGCTTAGTGGCCGCCCCACTATCCCTCTCGTACAGCACAATATTTCCTTTCTCTAGATCCTGCATTGATATCACGTCCGAAATCCCTTCAGGATATTTTCGTCGGAGTTGACGTATGGGGACGAGGCCAGCACGGTGGCGGCGGATTCGGCTCGTATCGGGCCATCACGCACATCGACCCTAAGTCACTCGGTCTCAGTGTCGCTCTATTTGGGCAGGCTTGGACTTGGGAGACAGAACAAGATAAGCCAGGATTCACTTGGGAGACTTGGTGGGACTATGAGCGGAAGCTATGGGTCGGGCCTCCAGATGCTACCGATACTGTGGTGGTTCCTCCTGAGCAATTGCAGAGCGGCCGCCCTGGATGCGACCATGGGAAGTTTGCGCCCATTGTTTCCTTCTTCCCTGGAAGGTCTCCACCCAACCCCACTGAGCTGCCTTTTCTAACGTGGTTCTCCCCTGGAGTCGGCCGGGCGTGGTTCATCAATGGTATGAAAATCTTGGAAGCGCACGAAGGATGGACGGACCTGGATAAGACCACCTCACTCGGCGATATGCTATGGCCACGTCCTCCCGCGGAATGGGAAGATGGCCGTAAGGAACCATTGCCGGAAGTGATAGCTTCTCTTCTTATGGACGACGCATGGCTGGGAGGGAGTTCTGTGAATCTAGCACTATCTATCTCCGGATCTGAGGCTGAAGATGCCTTCTTTCGATGCATTTGGGTACCCATCCAGTCTCTATCCGTCACTCCTGGACTGTTATATGACATGACATTGACATATAAAGCGACGTCCGATAGGCCAGTAGATTTCGATCTAGGCTTGTCGGTGAGATTATCCGGCGAGGGCGCCGGATCAGACAGAGTTGAAATTACCCCGCTCGCTCTTGAAGGACCCTCTACACAGCACGACTGGACGCGCATGGCTATTACTTTCAAAATTCCACTTGACTCACTAGCTGATGTATCCGTATCATCTGGTCTTTTAGTTGGTTTTGCGATGGAAGATCCGACGGAAGCCATACATATTGACGTTCACTTGGGTCTGCTTTCTGTACATCCAACTTCGATGCCCTCGAGCCGGTCTATCCATAACGCTAGAATTCTTTGGGCAGATTTCCAACGAGAACCTGTACATACCCACCGCTTCTCAGGAACATTGACTTGGCAGATTGCTGCGACTCTCTCGCCCTTGAACAACATTCCAATTTCGAGAGACAGTGAAAACATCGAACCACTTTGGAAGCCGGCAGCCTTGTTCCCTTCGTTCGCGCATTTCAACGTCTATGTTCAGCCTTACCCAGTAGACGGAAGGGTGCACAGTCCTGATGAAGCGACATTTATCGGGACCACCGGCCTGGACGGAAGGGAGCATAGATTTTATGTGGACCCGGCATGCCTACCTCCAAGTCTCTCAGAGGCGCGAGTGGCGCGCTTTTACGTTCAAGGAGTGACTGACCGTGGACACGTCTTAAGCTGGGACCGATGCGCATACGTAGATGTCAGAGTATGAATCCAATGTACCCCAAATAAATTGTATTCTTGAAGCACCTTCTGGCATTCCTACGAATATATCCAGACAAATTCACCAGTGAGAGTTGTAATACATACATTAACCGATAGGAATAAGGAGTAAACAAAGACCAGAATACACGTTGAGAATAAACTAAGAAATTATGCAGTTATACATTAGACAAGGAAATCCGATTATAGTCCTGGCGATGATGGCGAGTCCATGTCGTCTAATGATACCTCTCTCACAAATCTTTCCACCACCCCAACCAACTCATACATGAGCTCAGTCCGGTCCCATTCCGTTCGATGTCGCCAGACGCATCCGAGACATGTCGCGCGTAACTGCTCGAGTTGTTCAATGTTGAGCGTGTCGGTGCGATCGCGGAGGACCTGCCTGAGCTCGGATAGGCGGTCTTCGTTCAAGATGAACTCCGGCAGCGGTGTAGGGGACCGCTCAATCTCCATTGCAATCGTTGAAGAAGGCCCCACAGTAGAGTGACTCTGAAATTCAACGCCAGCAAGGTCTGTAGCTGGCTCATGAGTTTCGGTATCCAATTGACCGGGATACGGAGGTTCTGATCGAAGTTCGGTTTGGGCCATTGGAGGTTCTGCAGGCGATGGTCCATCATGCGAGACGAAAGCGCTATAATCGATCGTCGTGATCGGGCTTGCAGGCCCCGCTTGCAAGGCAGGTGATGGCATAGGATTGAGTAAGGACGGATCAAACCCTCCCGACTTTCGTGGTCCCTCATCAGCTAATATAACTTCGTCCACGCCATTAGGCTGAGGTTGGGAGAGAAAGGGAGAAATTTGCATAGGCTCCGAATTGTCTATAAAGCGCACACCAGGCTGACATTCTTGCGAAGATGGACCTGGCATAGGCTCATCTACTTCGCTGGCGAGTCTAGAGCGCTTCTGCCCCCGCTCACCTGCCTCGTCTTCCGAAGGCGTCGCAACAGCAGAAGTGGATCGCGGTCTCTTCAGCCGCCTCTCAAGCACCGTTGGATCGGTGATTGAGATCTCGGGCTGCTGTCCATTATGACGAGCGCTGCGTCGCGTACCAGGGGCATACACTGGTGATAAGCCATTGGGGTTAACCTCCGCGGCCGCTTTCTCCTCTTTCTCCTTGCTCTTTTTGTACTCCTCCCTTCGCTTGCGTTCACGCGAGGCCATTCGCGCGCATTCAGCCCGGAACTGAAGATCGAAGTCATTGATACTGACTTCAGCCGCTGTCAGCATGGCCTGCGCCCTGAAGAGTCTGTCGGGATCTTCATGCACGCGAACTTCAGCGTTGTGGACAATCCTCCTGATGTCGGTAAGAAAATCGTCAGGAGTAAGATATCTGTTCCGGTACAAGTCGAAATGCATTCGCTCCAAGTCGATATCGAACAGTCGGGGTTCAGGAGGCTGTTGAGGTACCGGCTCATGAATTCCATTGACGACGACTTCAGCTTGCGCCTCGACGACCTGTTGCTCAGTGTGTTGTTGCTCCGTTACTTCCATAGCGCCATTTGTCTCTGTCCGAACTTCCACGCTAGTTGTAACAATTTCAACTTCCTTCACAACATTCGCGTTCGGGTCTGTGTTCGTTACCGCAACCTGAAAGTCATAATTGTATTCCTCCTATCACAACGAAGCATGTAAGCAGGATCTACGGCATCGATCGATAAACAGAACAGCGTGTGCGTACCACGGCTCGCTTAGTAAAGCGTTTAAATTTACGTTTTAGCTCTTGGAGGATGGGACCTAAACGAAATCTGAGTAAAGTGACGACGCGCTGATCGCTTTCCTCTTGCAGCGCCAATTCTGCTGCCGTAGGCTGTCGAGGCTCCACCGGCGGGGCGATAGGGAGTTCTTCAAGTATCCGCTTCTTCCGTTTGACACCGTCTGGAAAGTGGTTTGGCGGTCTGCTGACATCCGTTAGTAAACTGTCGAAGAAAGCATCCCTCTGTGATGTAGTGTGTCCGTTAAGTTCCACTCGATTGTCCCGTGCCTGTCCAAACCACGCACGGACGTCACGCGGCAGAGTTTTAAAAGGACCGTCGACCACAGCGAGTAGCAGTACTGGATCTGTTGGGGCCAAAGTCTCTAGCATGGCACGAACCGTGGTCCTCGATGTCTCAGACACAGCCGCGCACCACCCAACCAGTGACGGAATATATACCACCGAGGGCTGGTGTCGCTTTGCCTCAACGAATAATTGTACGATGGCCGCTTCGGGAGTCTGTAGTTACATCAGTATCTTCAAAATGCCGCCTTAATAAGCAGCTTACCCTTGTGGAATCGCTCATCAAACTCCCTAAATCCAAACTCTGTATATGATACCCTTCCAAATGATGCAGCAGTGCGGCCGCTACATACGATTGGCCCATGCCGACCACACCATGCAGAACGACTCTAGGGCGATATACACGGAGTGATTCCATGGCTATGGAAGCGTCAATATTATCCCGCATATATGTCAAGAAGACCTACATTGAAGCAGCAACTCTCGCTCCAGGGCATTCTCATGACTTTCATCTTCCCACTCAGCTTCTTCCAACGCTGTACGTTTCTTCCCAAGTGGCAGCGCCTTGTCGACGACTTCTTTCGCCCTGTCCAGAGAATCTTGCAATAAAGGCGCTAGCTGAGTGGGCAAGGGAGCAGCCGCAGACGATACCGATCGTGCAGATGAGGGGATTAGTCCTAAAGATGGATTATTGCATTAGCTACAAGAGAATGTTTCAAAAATCAAGCAGAAACATGATTTACTTTTGATCGCGATCATGAAATCCCGTAGTTCTACGCCGATAGTTTCGGGCTTCAGAAGCAGGCGCTCCGAGGTCTTGTAAATCTGCGGATAGCGTCTTTGAACAGCATTAAGCGCGGCTTCCGTACAAAGAGCCTGAAAGACTAGTTAATTCACATTCGAAAGAAGCTCAGCATTGCATACCCTCAGATCGGCACCACCATATCCCTTTGTCAAACTTGCCAAGCCTTTCACATGCTCTTCCCCTTTATCACTATCCCAGTCTGCCCATTTTTGCGTCATGATCCTCAAGATGCGCACCCGCGCGTCTAGTGAGGGCAACGGAAAATAAAATTCCCTGTCAAAGCGTCCGGGCCGACGGAGGGCGGGATCTATAGCATCTGGCCGATTGGTGGCACCAATGATGATAACCTGCCCTCTTCCATCCATGCCGTCCATTAAAGCCAATAGCGTCGACACGATGGACGCATGTATCTGATCTTGTTTTGAGGAACGCACAGGCGCGAGACCGTCAATTTCGTCGAAAAAGATAATACTAGGTTGCTGATTCCGGGCCTCTTCAAAGAGAAGCCTTAATTGTCGTTCGGCTTCACCAACCCACTTTGACAGACAGTCGGCACCTTTGCGCATAAAGAACGCTACGCGAGCCCAATGTGTGAATAATAGGAGTCAAATTTTATAGCAGAATACTGACATATCCTCTTTCCATCGGATCGGCAACTGGCGGCCAATGCTCGCGCAAGGAGCGTCTTCCCTGTTCCCGGCGGCCCGTGAAAAAGTACACCCCTGGGTGGCGTGAGGTTAAACCGTTGAAATACTTCAGGGTATAAGAGAGGCAAGAGTGTCATCTCTTTCAATGAATTAATATCTGACAAGCGGCGCGACCGAAGCCAAGACTATGTAAGCGCCCATCTCTCGGATCGAACGGATCACTTACGGTCATCAAGTCCTCCTACCTCGTCAAAAGTAACGTTCTGGTTTACTCCGAGGGGATCGGCATCTGCCAAGGCTAGGAAAGATGTTAACTCGATGAAGACTGCAGATTCGTTGTAAGATACTCACATGCATCGCCAATTTTACCCAAATTCGACGGAGTACCAGCAGCTGCAGCAAGGTCGGACGGATACAGCCCTCCTCCCGCCCCCCCGGCAAATACGCCACCCATTGAATTCCCAGCAGCGAAAGGTTTTTTCGGATTGCGACCTGGATGGTCTGAATCCTGTATGAATCATTAGGGATTGTATGCACACAGGCATACAAACCAGCTCACCGAATCATCCCCTGCGCCACCCATCCACCTACTCAGTTCAGCTCCTGTAGCGCTCCATCCAGGCGCTTTCGATCTCCCCAAGCCTGTATTCCGTCCATGATGTCGACCACCACCTGGACGAGGTTTAGATGGTATGGCCATTTCCTCCAGTGGTGGAGGAATGGCATAGTTTATCTTTGTACGTTGACGCAACGCGTATGGTCGTCCGTCTTGCTCAGGTTCCGGCTCCACTTCGACCTCAGCATCTATGTCGCCCTCCGCGTCGGCATCTGCGTCAGCATCTACTTCAGAAGACGTATGTGCAGCTTCATCAAACGAACCGTCCCCGTCCGCCGAACTGGGGGAGGATGGTTGGACGTATCCGTCGTCGTCGTCCCGGGCCAGTCCATTCTGACGGGTCCGTCGTGTTGCTGTCCGAGAACGCGTCGAACGCGTATTAGAGGCCTGTGCACGAGATCCAGAGCGACGTGTGATACGCCTGCTACTAGAATGACCATTGATTTCGGGAACAACGTTCACATTCTTGCTTCTGCTCCGCGTCTCGTACCGGCTGGTTGTAGGTTGGCCCTCGTCGTCGCTGTAGATTGTCCCGTTCATTTTAGGAGCAAGTCGAGTACTGTGTCTGGTTCTGTAGCGGGGCTGATTCTCCTCATCTTCGTCCTCTCCGTGATCATTGTAGTCAGGCTCAACATCCATTTTGGAAGGAGACAACGGAAAATCTGCTACTAGCGGGTCATCTTCGCTTCCAGACTCTTTGTAAGATTTGCGCGCAATCTTCCGCCCTCTTGAAGTGGTTGTGAATACCTGTATCGGGGCCGGTGCTGGTTCGACGTTAATCATAGGCTCTTCAGCATCCATGGAGGCATTGCTCGCGTGGTATTCAGATCCGGAGGCAACGGACGCTGTACGCTGGCGTGTGGCACCGCGAGTGACGGGAGCCATGTTGAGTTTGATCTTAAGAGACTGGGATTCTTCTGGGGTTCGTGGTTGACTTGGGTAGTGAGAAAAGGTAGAGGGATCTTGCGCCTGAGGCCAGTCTTCAAAGTCCTCCTCGGGTTGCATGGACGATCTGGCAAGCGAGTGAGCAGCTGAGACCGCTAACCACTCTCCCAGATGCCTGTATGTGATGTGTGGAGAACCCGAAAGCACAGATTCAGCAGCAAGAGAATGGACAAGACGAGCCAGACAGTGAGTATGCAGATCGAAATGGAAAGGACAGACGAGTGAGCCTTTGTTTGCCTTTGTTTGTTCAATGTGGCGATGGCTGCGCTAATCGACGCCTCGTTCCCAACACCTTCTCCTCCTGGCCCCCCTCGGCAGCACTGAACCTCAAGACAAAGCAAAAGAGAGGGCTAATCTCTGAACAGATGGCCTGGCTGGAGAGTGAATGTCCATGGTCGTGCGTTATGTTCCTGTTCTGTAAATGCGCTGTAGAAGGCGGTAATTTGTCGAGAATGCGTCTTCATCCACACGCAGGAGGTTTCCGACGATCGCCTTCATGGCCGTTTGAGCACAAGAAATGTTGCGAATTATCGACGACGGAGGCGTTTGAACCTGCTCGGTATCACCCAGGCTTCTACCCAGTCAATAGCGCCTAGTACATGCCTAAAATGGACTGTGGGAACAAAAACTGAATCGTGCCAAAATAGTACACTCTCAGAACTTACAGCTCAAAACTTAGAAAATTCATGGTTCTATGCTAGCGGTTGAGCTCGCTCGCACTGGCAGATACTGATTACTTGCACTGAGTGAACATGCTTCAACTGCGAAAGCAATGCCAGCCGCAGTCGCTGACAGCATACCAGCCTCTTCGTACTTACCTGCCATCATTTCTCCCAGCCCCGCTTCACACTTTCTAAAATTCTCGATATGCTAAACCTGCACCCAGGTCATAGTCTGGCTCACGCGAAGAACGCTAGCCTTCCGTTTACAGACGTGACATCTCGAGTCTCTACGCACGTCGAGACGAACGCTAGTAAGTTTCGCTCCTCCTCCGCATGTGCCAGTAGAAAATTTCGCATCAAACAGATATCTTTGCAATGGACGCAACCCCCGAAGATGGTATTCATCTAGAGATTTCTCGTGAGATAGCCGAGTTAAAGAAGCTTATCGAAGTTGGTGCGGCAGCAAGGAAGGCAGATATAGCAAGGCTAGAGGCGGAGCTAGACAAAGCCAAGGCAGACAAAGCCAAACTAGAAGCAAAGATTTGTCAAGTACGTTCCCTGGATAGCAATAAATGCGGGCTCTTTGACGAAAGTCAAAAGGATATCTTGGACGTTCTCCGAAACCGGTTCCAGCAGCCTAACGCCCAGCGTCAAGCTTCCGCTGCAGCAGGTCGTGATGGAGTCCAGGGACCACCTCGTCACACCGATCCCTTAGCTCTGAATCGCTTTCGCAACGATCTACGCGACCACGGCGTCAATCTAAGCCTCGAATTGCTGGATCTGCTGTGGAGCGACCCATGCCAGCTCAGTGTTCAGTCTGGGGATGCCGCAGGTCTCGCAAAAGACGATATTCGACAGAGTATCCTACAGGAGTTGGAGTTAGGCACATGGGATGATAACCAGAAAGAGGCTATGAGGGAGCTGTTTCAGTTCGTGTATAACGAGGAGTTATGATTCACCTTATCCACCATGTCTATACAACAACCCATTTACTTCATGGAGACAAATTTCTGGCAAACGTTCGCATCGATAGCGATTACCAATCTACTTGAATACAAAGTAATCAAGGGAAAGTGTGTGAGATGTTGATGTAGTGTGCAAGACCCTCAATTAATATTGCACAAAAGGCGTGATCAGATTTCCACACATGATGTACTGTTCAGATATAGGAGAATGTGTGATCAGGGTGGTGTTCCCGGGGAGCAGATGGATGGGCAATCGGCGTAACATGGTAGGCCACAGCGAGCAAACCTGCATGCAGTGGCACCACGCATCTTCCGATGTCTGACCGTAGATGTCTCTACACCAGCAGACTAACGATATTCAGTAGAATGGACGCATGCGACTTGAATTGGCTATAGTCTTATGATTACTGGCGACCTCCCGCAAACTTCTAGAGGCTTCGACTTCCGAGAACTTCAATGACATACACGTGTCAGAAGCATTGGTATGGTACTACCATGGAGGATTTACGTACGATTCCAATCAATACTTGTGCATGGGTTTCATTTTGACGCGAATGCACCCATATAGTTGCGTTGTGAAAGACCCTTCTTGTTACGCAGACAGCATCTAGTCCATGGCTCATCTTGATGAAGGGAAGCTGTGGGAATGGGTAGTGGTCACTGTGAGCATGAATGCGTCTGATCTCCTTTGGGGTCAATGCTGGAAACACATAGTCATGGTGCAACGAGCTAGCCTGATGTCCACCAAGTCAAGTAATCTCCAAGCTACTATCTAGAAAACGACTCTTGAGAGGCAACACTCAAAGCGCAAGACAATTCAGATTAAAGTCGAGCGGACAACTTGAAGGTGAACCTTGGGTGAACCATAGCCAGGTGAGATAATTTTGAACATTTTGAAGCTTGGATTTCGTATGATGATTGCCATGCTAAAACATGCCGAACCCGGTCGATCACAACAGTGAGCCGAGCCGATCGCGACAAGTCATGCGACTGAGCCTCCGTGAGGGCCACTACATAACCGCTAGCGCTACATAGTGGCAGTAGGCCTGAAGGTCGAGCGACAAGCTGAGTCTAATTACTATCTGTTCCTTCGTAACTAACGAGTCTTAATGTCACAGCCAGCTGTCTTGATGTCTCCATCAGCAAAATAGCACGTTGCCGAAGCGCTGGAACACTAGAACCATTTTGCTGCAGCCGCAGATCACCTGCAGGTTGCGGAATTTTCGTGCAGAGCTCGTTACACGCACAGTCTAGCGCATTTGGGGCACCGGCGATGACTATAGGTGCACACAGGTGCACACTCACACCCAAATATCATATGCGGTGAGATGCCGGTGTGTTAGAGCGCTTATACAAGGTTCTGTGGGCTGAGCACTGGCTGGACTGCTGAAATCGCTTCTGAACCAATCCGGAAGCTCTGCTACAGCACTTCAGATAATTTCCTGTTTTTCTGATGAGTCATTTGACAGTTATACCAGTTCGTGAAGTCGTCAGGTGCGAGCCAGAGCTACGTTGACTCTTTGGAGAGACTGGCGCTCTTTTAGTGACAACTGTGCGGCGGAGACAAAGGAATCATGAATATGGTCTAAGGCCTGGTGAAAAGCTCGATATTAGGTTCAGAACCTCACTTGATGGCTTAACTATGCGCAGCCAATCTTCGACTTCCTCCTCGGCACTTAGCTCGGAATTTAACAGCCAATAATCCAGTGGTGAATTCAACTCTGGATTCTTCCTTCCATTTCCACTTCCTTTCCCCCAACCTCCATACTGGCCGACCGGTCACTCAAGAGCAGCATAATCGTGACTTACTGAGATGCTCGATGTACCCCTCCTCTCAGTACTCACGGCTAAGCTACTAGCAGGCGATGACTGTGCTGTTTCCTCCCCAACGTCGAGACCAGTCCCCTCCTCAAGGGTGTTGCGTGAAGTCGACAATCCAGTGCGTTTCCTACACCTCTCAACCCCCAAGAAGGGCTTAAGTTGTAGTAAACTACGGCAGCTTGTTGCCGAATGGGCCACAAATAGACTGGCCTTACACGACGGCGTCCTGTGATTCATCATACCTTTTTGTTCATCTTAGTAACTGAGTGCTGTCCTTATAAGGTACGCGTTCTTTGGATATACAGACAATCATGTCAAGGACGGGAAACTCATATTCTTTCGAGAGGATGTGGAGTGGACTATACCTCAGATACTTGGACGGCTAGGCGATCTTGATGAAGTTTTTAAATAGGATGGGTGTTGGAAATACGCTGCGCGGCCAGGCCTCTCCTTCTCGTCCACTGTCCGATCCCTCGACGTGAGCGACCACCATCACTATACTACGACTGATCTTAGCTTGGAAATTCTAGGTACGAGTTGAGCAAGCACTACAAATCCCAGACTGGAACGCACAAGGTGGCTTGGTTCACAGTGATGGCTGTGGACTGATTCGTGACACTTTCGCTTCCCAAGTCTGCAAACAGCACGATATCCCTCCCGGGACTTCTGGTAAGCGCCGCATACTTTCCATATTTCCCATATTTCTCTTTCAATGGGCTTGCTTCTTCACGTTTTTAACGTCCAATGTCATCTCCAAGACGATTCACATACTTGCCGTTCGACTGCATTGTCAAAGTCTTGCAATGTGGCAAATGAGCTGACTCATATGCATGTAGTATTCCAAATAAGGCGTAGTGGAATTAAAAGGCTACTCGTCCGATATCCAGACGAAAATTCAACCAAATCTGCGCTGAATCAGGCAGTGGTGCTAGTCATGATTATGATACTGCGTACAGACCGTCAATGCTCAAGTATGCGGGTGGTCCAACATGGTTAGAAATCAACAATTTTTCTTCAAGCCCGGCCTCGGCGCGACTGAACGTACAATACATCCTCCTGTTACTCACTCTGGGTATCGACTACAATGTAGGTTATACTGATTTGTCGTCATCAGGTGGCTAACCCCTTCCAGGATTTTTGTCAAACTTCTCAAGGAACAACTAGATCTCATTGGAACATGAGTGGAGGTTGAAGTGGGCGGGCAAGACAATGCGGCACTACAAGTGTGCACATTCCGAAGTTGTGATTAAGGAGCGGAAGAGCGGAGTCCCGCGCGAGATGGGTACCGGTTGACGCTTAGATGAATGCTGACACGGTGTCGTTTTTCTCGTTTTCCAAGCTCTAATCTGAATTACTGTTCTCGCTTCTGATGTAAGGGATCCCACAACAACGCTTGCAGTTGGAATGTACATTGGGAGCAGATAAATTTAAATACCGGTCTAGTGGCCCCATCCCATGATGTTAATTGAGGGCCGCTTGTAGCTTCACCGGTAGTAGATACACGAGGAACATCTCTGCAATCCTACAAAAGCATACATATCCGTACCTAGGACATGTCGCCAAAGCACGACGTGGGTGCAGACAGCGAAGCTAACTCGGTGAGATGAGTAAACCAGGGAACAGATATTGTCAGCACCAAGTATTGCAGCCTGGCAGAACGACCGCTTGCTCCCATGTTATCTCTAACACTATGAACGGAGTACACATTTAGGCTGGAATACACTTCTGGCGAGGAGTCAATGTTCAGTGAGAACACGAGGTACGCAATAGTCACACGCACGTCAGGATACTCGTTGTTGAGCGTACGATGGAGACTTGAAAAAAGTGGAGACCTGCTGCCTTGAACAGGTCATTCATCTCCAGGCTTGTGCCGTTGGCAGGTTCGAATGACGTCGAGGATGGTCAGGAAGCCTAGGAAGCTCAGTGAGCGGATGAAGATGAAATCAGCGATGGCAGGTTCGCAATCTCAGGCGTGGAAAGTCGAAGCTGCGGTCCTTGTAGAAGTAATACTGGTATCAGGATCTCCGTGAATCCGGCGGTTAGAATATACCGCCTTGGTCCACATGACATGTCCCCGCCAAATCGCAGGGTCAATGGTAGTAGAATGGTGAAGATTAGTGGAAGAACGCAGACCTAAGCGCAGGAAGACAATGCACTTTTTGGGTGCGTGAGACACCTGACTACTGTGACTGGAACACTATCGCCAGCAGAACGTACATGGGCAGAGGAGCTCTTTACACAGACGTGAAGGAAGCACGTGTAGCACGTTATCCGCTGTTCATGCTGTTCATGCTAGGTATATATTCCCGTGCAACGTGTCAGATACCTTAGACATCCTTTCGCAGAACTAAGTACTACTTACTGAGTGGCAACACGAAAAAACCGACGTCGGAAAAGGAAATCCGGTATCTGCCCAGATAAGATCGCAGTATATCGACCTGGTAAGGTACTTATGCACATGCTTCACCACGGATCATGATTCAACACTCTCGAGCTCTCAATGGTCACTTCAGATGTACGGATGATGATTCTACGCCATTACCAAGTGATTTCAACATGATTTTCGGACTGCAATAAGTTGCAGGATTACCATAGATGAACGGTATAACGAGAGGTAACAGCTCTCTAATCAATTTCATGTAAGAGCAGCCTAGCTGTAAGTGATAGCCAATTCGAGCATTGAAACACGAATTTCATGAAGCTTGAGGTACTACCATAGTCCACTCAAGCTCTTGCAGTGATTGAAGTGGCTAAACGCGGAACGGAGGCATTTTGTAGTGGAAGTCTCAATAACAGGATCACGTGCAGCGCGACACAGGTCCCAGCGCTTGGCCTAGCTTGGCTTTCGCCGAATGTGTTCTGCACAACCACACATGATACAGCCCTCAGCGCCGCCCGGGCCTTAGGGGCATAATTCGCGAACTCGAAGCGTTTCCTGGAGGTGATCTTTCGTGAAAAATATTTCACAACTGTTCCTCAGCATCCCCATGCCCTTGAGTCAAAGTGCCATGATTTTTAATGTTCAGAGCAAACGTCTATACTTTATATTATTATCGTCTCGGCGGGGACGGGTCGGCTTGTAAGCTAGAATCATGGGATACGAGTACGTAACGAACTTCTTGTATCATGTTCTCTGCTTCGGAGCGACATCTGACCCACTCTATGATCTCAGCGCTGCGGGATGAACCGCTTCGCGCAGCATTTGAAACTTCAGACCCGTACTACGTTTTCGCCGCGAGCGTTGTGCTGCGCCTTACGGATCGTATTATGGTGTCGAGAATTTCTGGAATATGTGCATAAATGCGTGAATGCTTGTCAGTAAGTCGTACGAAAGCCTGAAATTGAGACGTTCATCGTTCCAAGGTACGCATTCCAGGCTCTCTAATGTTATCGCTTCTGCTCGTGATCCACTTCTGTGCGATTGATCTCCTTTATTCAGACTGTATTAAGAAGGTCCATTCCTCAGTCATCTGCCTGGGCCCCATGATTTGCTCCTTCATGTAAGCTGGGAATGTACTTCACCGGCTCAATCATTCTCATGCTCGTAATTGTTGGCGGACTTCGGATTGCCCTCCTCGTAATTTGCCATTGTTGCAAACTCGCGCTGGCGTCTGCCACTACTTCTGCCGGCGATTTGGACACCAAGAAGACTGACTTCCATCAGTTCCCCCTGTCTCAGTGAGCAAAGATAGTATGTACCCATGATTCAGCCGCCAGGCGCATAGGTCTCCCGTGTTCGGCTTGGATTTCTGCATGACCTCCTAACTGCCGACCTGCGATCGAAGCGAATTTCCTATTCTTCGATTAGTCCTCTAAGCGAGTGTGGGGTAGTGCGGGGTGCCACGGGAGGAGCGATATGGCACGCGAATGCAGCTGCTAAGCTCAACATGGCCATTTCGTTCAGCTGACGGAGTGCTGATGAGAATGTGTTGACCTCTGCCTGCGCTCATGACCTCGCGAACTGTGCTCTGGGAAACCGGTGCCTCGGGTCCATTCCACCCAGACTGAGGGGTGAGATGGTATAAAGCTCTCCATAAATTGGTCCTGGCAGAAGCAGTGATCTCGTCGCTGACCACTCTTCACTTCTGTTCCACGCTCATATAACCTACTTGCCCAACCTATCGAAATGCATCCAGAGGAAGTCGATGTCATCGTCGCAGGGTGCGTCCGTAGAGCCTCAGTGTCTATACCGTATCGCCTAACTGGTCATCCACAGCGGTGGCCCCGCCGGTTGCGTCGTTGCCGGACGTCTCGCATATGCCGACCCAACGTTGAAGGTCATGCTCATTGAAGGTATGCTCCTGCCGTCCGCGTCCATTTCCATGAGAGTACTGACGTTGGGTTGTCAGGGGGTGCGAACAATCGAGACGATCCCTGGGTGTACCGGTACGCTGTCTGACCCGTTACACCAGTCTCAGTTCTCAATGTAAGCTAGCCCGGGAATTTATGTGCGTAACATGCAGAACGACGGCGTGTGAGTGTCTGTAACACCTGGCCTACTGAGGTTCAGCCCCCTAACGAGATCGTTGCAGCAATGATAAGGCGACGTTCTACACGGACACTATGAAGTCATCACACATGCGTGGCCGTCGTAGTATTGTGCCGTGAGCGTCCCTAGTTTATGGGTTCGACATTTTCTGATTTCTGATTGTCTGAATTAGTTGTGCAAACATTCTTGGTACGCCGTCATTGTGCCGGAGAATACCGTCTCTAATTTTGCTCTATCTGGCGTCTGACAGGCGGTGGGAGTAGCATTAACTTCCAGGTACATGAAGTCGTGTTCTTGATATTTGCTCCGGGGAAACTAAATGTCCGTTCATCAGATGTACACGCGTGCTTCTGCATCCGACTGGGGTGTGTGCCGCTTCTGTATGCCCACTCGGACATTGTTCGCTTAGCATAATTGTAGATGACTTCAAAACTGAGGGCTGGACCGCCAATGGTGAGTGACGTCCAGAGGATCACATGAATAGTCAGCTGAGCTTCGTGAAACGCAGACCTCGTCCCGCTTATGAAGCGTCTTGAGAACTACCAGAAGCCGGTCAATAATGATACACACGGATACGACGGGCCCATCGCTATAAGCAATGGTGGGCAGGTTCAGCCTGTGGCTCAAGACTTCCTCCGAGCTGCACATGCGATTGGGGTGCCCTATAGCGGTGAGTCATAAATTCATTTGGACCTACGTGGACTTTTTTGACGAGACCGGCTGATACTCGCTGCAGATGATATTCAGGGTAAGGTTTATTACCCGGGCAGTGTAGAATGGTACATTTACTTGTTTCCCCAATAGACCTTACCACTGCCCATGGTGCTGAGATCTGGGCGAAGTACATTAACCGTCATACTGGTAGACGAAGTGATGCTGCGACTGGTGTGTTGGGCCCCTATTATTCGGTAATTACTTGGATTAACACTCGCACTCGACAGCATATGTCCACAGCGTAATGGACGTCCAGGATAACTTGTACCTACGCTGTAATGCACGCGTCTCTCGCGTCCTTTTCGATGCCAACAACAAGGCTATCGGTGTTGCTTATGTCCCATCACGCAACCGTACGCATGGCGGCAAGGTCCAGGAGACCATTGTCAAGGCGCGAAAGATGGTTGTCCTCAGTTCTGGTACTCTCGGTACCCCTCAGATCCTCGAGCGCTCTGGTGTTGGCAATGCCGAACTGCTCCGCCAGCTTGATATTCCGGTCGTCAGTGACCTGCCAGGTGTCGGGTGCGTTCTGCCTTCATTCAATCTAGTAACGCAATGGCTGAGAAGACGTACAGCGAGGAATACCAGGACCACTACACTACCTTGTCGCGTGCGTCTCACCTTGCTTTCATTGCGACAGCAGCCTGACATTGTAATCAGTTTATCGCGTTTCAAACGAGACTCAGACCACTGATGACTTCCTTCGTGGTGCGCCTGAGGTCCAGAAAGAGCTATTTGCGGAATGGGAGTCACGCCCTGAAAAAGCGCGTTTATCGTCTAACTGCATTGATGCCGGATTCAAGGTGCACATCATTTTCAGCTTTGAAAATTGCGCCATAGCGCTGATATACTGTTTTTCTCGAAGATTCGGCCTACGGAGGAGGAGCTCAAAGAGATGGGACCAGAATTCAATGAGCTCTGGAACAGGTACTTCAAGAATAAGCCCGACAAGCCGGTCATGTTCGGCTCTATCGTCGGCGGTGCCTACGCGGACCACTCGCTCTTGCCCCCTGGCAAGTACGTCACGATGTAAGCAGTAAGCTGAGGGAGATTTCAGCACTTCCTGACTTTGGGCGACAGGTTCCAATACCTCGAATACCCTGCTAGCCGTGGCAAGGTCGGTCTTCTGTCTATTCCCGCACTTATTTTGGGTGTTCACACGTCTCGATGCAGATCCACATCAAGTCGTCTAACCCATATGTCGAGCCATTCTTTGACAGTGGCTTCATGAACAACAAGGCCGACTTTGCTCCGATCCGTTGGAGCTACAAGAAGACGCGTGAGGTTGCGCGCCGCATGGATGGTTAGTCCTACCCAATTCATCTGCGTCTCTACGTCTTTAATATCCGACTGCAGCATTCCGTGGTGAACTCACCTCGCACCACCCGCACTTCCACCCCGACTCGCCCGCGGCGTGCAGGGACATCGACATCAAGACAGCCAAGCAGCTCCTCCCTGACGGCCTTACCGTCGGGATTCACATGGGCACCTGGCACCGGCCCGGCGAGCCGTACGATGCCTCGAAAGTACACGAGGACCTTGTTTATACAAAGGAGGATGACGAGGCGATCGACAATTGGATTGCGGACCATGTCGAGACAACATGGCACTCTCTTGGTGCGTTCGGCGCCTTGTCTGCGGTGGAAGATAGTTAAGTAGACGTGTCATTGACTTTAGGCACTTGCGCTATGAAGCCTCGTGAGCAGGGCGGCGTCGTCGACAAGCGCTTGAACGTATTCGGAACAGAAAATCTGAAGTGTGTCGATCTCAGTATATGCCCTGTGAGTATATTTCCCAGTTGCCATCTGCAATGAGCTCATGCGCCTTTGTAGGATAATTTGGGCACGAACACGTACTCCTCGGCTCTCCTGGTCGGTGAGAAGGGTGCTGACCTGATTGCCGAGGACCTTGGTACGCCAACTCGTATCAAAGCATTACTTTCGGTTTTTAATCGTTCTATTTCTACAGGCCTGAAGATCCGCGTACCTCATGCTCAGGTCCCGCATGCGCCGGTCCCCACTGGCAAGCCCGCTACCCAACTCACTCGGTGAAATGGGCCTTGTTGTCTCGACTGATGTCTGACGGTGTCGTCTTGTTCTTTCTGGAGAAGTTGTTGTTCAACATTCTGTGTATCAGTATTCGTGGAGAAAGTAGGATTGTTGTATGTGTAACCGCAGCTGTACTTTTACTTCTCTTGCAATTCGACGATTTCCTTCCGCCCGCGTTTATGTTGACATTCACTTGAGCGACACCTTGTGGTCATGGTTGAGGTGCTGAAACTACGGTTTGGCAATGATGCGTTTCAACGACGTCGCCTCGACCTCCACCCAATGCGGTGAACGATAGTCTTGTCCTCAATACTAAATGTGCCGCATTGAAGCCTCACGAGGACTGATTGTTGCTATGCTTCTCAAATGTCACGAAGCCAGGTGGGCTAAGTAATGGATGTGTTCAAATCAATGATCAAGCTCAGTTGAGTCGAAGAACTGAGTTTCCCAGACTCGGACATGCCACTGGAGATCTACAAGGGTTACATCGGTTATGCAAAATACAAGAATGAAGACATGCAAAGAACAAATAATACAACAGTATTGTCGACAACATCTCTTTATGAACGGATGGGTATCGCTATGCATACAGAGTCATTAAGTTTATAGGTATCATAGTTCCAGGTCCGTGGCGAAACGTGCCGAATATGGATGAAAACATGAACTGCTCGAGAATATACTACGCCTAGTATGAACTTCGTGAATCTCTCGTTCAAAAACATCTGATCGCACATAGCCACTCACCATAGAAGTTGCTAATTCGTCACCTTCATATCAGAGCTTGGGTGAGACCCTCCCCCACAGCCTTCCCTTCTCCGCGCTCAAAAACTCGCCCTTCTCCAAGTCGACCTCCTCACGTACGACGCCATCCAAACTCGCCATCCCCGGACTTGTCGGTGCATTCTCTAGTCCCGATAAGCCGAGGCCAACCATCGACGCCGAGCCGGCCTTCGATTCCCGGTCGCGTGCCTCGTCCATCCCGTCCCGGCGTTCCCTCTCGCGTACTATGTCCCTCCCTCGCCGCGGATCGTCCCGCTCCCGTTCCCCACGCCGGTCCCTACGTGCGCCGTGATACCGCCGGAATGAGTGGATGATCATCGCGAATTTAAGCAACCCAAGCGCGAAAACCGCCGTGATCGCTGTGCGAACTGCAATAGCCTGCCGCTCCGTCAGCGGTGACGGCGCCGTCTCGTCCGTTACGGACCCCGTGCGCCAGACGTACGAGAGGATGGACACGCAAAACGCGATCATGGACCATGCAAGCCAGATCGCTGGCGTGGCGAGAAGCACCCAAATGTTCCATAGAATCGCCGTCTTGGACTTCTGTGCCTCCTGAAATACGAATGTTAGGTGAGTTACTGCATTCAAGGACTGATATTTTTCCGCACCTCTGCCCATCGTGACGCTCTGTCCATGCTGCGCATCGTCCCGAACTGGACGATGTACACGCATCCGTAGCTCAGGCTCATCAGCGCAAAAATCAACCCAAACAGCGCAGCCGAGCGCGTTACCGGATCGTCTTCCGCATCGTTTACTTGGAACATTGTCAAGATCGCTCTACACAGAATACCAACGCGCGCGTGAGCATACGTCAACACCCATATCTTGCACAGGAAGGAGAGGACAGGCAAACCTCTTCTTCAATGGCGCAGAGATAGACAGTACGCACGTGCAGAGCAGCGCAGACACTAGGTTTAGCGTCTTCCACTCGCGCAGGAGCGAGTCCACAAAGAGTTCCCACGAATGTTTGAAGCGGACCAGGGCAGGCGACACCGCAGGCGGATTCCAATCTTCTGGGAACGGCAGCAAGACTCCGTGCGAGTGAGGCACCGCCCGCCCGCGCAGCGATGCCGCCTCAGACATGCCTCGCTCATGCGCCGTCGCGAAAGCAGGCTCGCGAAAGTGCGCGTCGATCATCCGCTGCACGTCGGGCCTGCTAAGCTCCGCATCCTCGAATACACGCGCGACGCGTGTCCAGTAGAGCGCGGGGAGGCCGAGCAGCAGGATCAGATACGCCTGCCGCGGCAGCGTGTCCGTTAAGAATATCCGGATGTCGTCTGTCGCGGCGCGCCAACTAGATCCTTGCGAGCCTTTTTCGTCTTTCGCGTTCCTACTCTTGGACCTGAAGGAGACGGGGAGAGGAAGACAGTTTGCGAGCGCGCCATCACAGCCGACCTCGCCGTCGTCGTATTCGCGCGGGCGGCTGTCGGGCGTATTTTTTCGTCCGTTGAAGGCGAAAAAGTTCATGCGAAACGGGTCTACGGGGACAAACGGCTCTTCGCGAGCGTGTGCCCTGTGTAGAGCCCAGCCAAGACGGCGCAGTGGAGATGCCGCGCGAGATGGAGACGGCGAGTGTGACGTGGGGGTATTTGTTTCCCTCCCCGGACGCGGAGAGAAGCCCCGTGCGTGGATACCATGCCGTGCGTCTGCTGTCGGAGCCTGCTGCGGAGTGTTGTGTCCTTGAAATGAGCCCTCGCCAGAAAGCGGGGAGGGTGAACGTGTGGTAGAAACGCTGCGCCGTATACGTCGGCTTGCAATTGCTACAGACAGCGGTAAGAGTCAACCCGCACATTATTGCGCGCACTTACCTTGTCTGATGCCTTGCAGCGTCGCTGGGAGAGATGTGTGGTCGTTTTCGAGTGATGGCCTTTGACTTGGCGTCTCCTTCCCAAGTGATCCCTCCGACTCGCTCGCGCGGATGGGGCCAGAATGGTGGTGCACGGCGTGAACGCTAGCTGACGGGGAGTCGATGGAAGGGGCAGAACCGGACGCGTCAAAGCTGCGACGAGCTGTGCGTCCCTGTGTGCGCAGTCTCCCCAGAGCAGGTGAAGGTTGCATAGGCAATGCAGAAAGCTTATCTGAACTTGTTTGAGTGGAATCATTAGACGAGGACGATCCCGACTCTGTAATGCCATCCGTTCATTAATCCATTTTGTGATTGGCTACTCACACGTACCGTGCATGGGGATTGTTTTCTCGGCACTTGATGATGAAGGAAACGGTACCGAGCTGGTGCTCGTCGGCCTTTCAGACGTTCGTTTGCCTGTCATGCCAGTGGCAATACCAATGCGCGTTAGAGAACTCGAATCCATGATTAAATCGAGCTGGCTTGAGCGGGTTCAAATGAGGGCAGAGAGTGTTGTTCAACGTGAGTTTAAAGAGAGTGTAAGCATACCATCCTCTTATATATGGTCGCAGCCGATGAAGGGAGCGAATTGGTTGGGTACGTTCACCAGAGCTTGCCCATTCTGGTTCAACTACGATTTCCATTTTGGGCTGTCTTGCACAAGTCACGTGATAGCGGAAGACCCCAGCGAGTCCTCGCATTCAGAATGCTCCCCAAAATTGAGTGCATTCATTTTGAATGAGAAGCTTAATATCACAATCTCCAAATCTACTCGCTACACCTAGAATGACCCTAGAAAATGTACACCATATAAGGCCTTAGCGTAAATATAGGGGGGTCTGCCCTCCAAGTACCCAGCTGCTCATAGTTGGATTTTCAATGTGATTGACCAGCTTTTTTGTACACAATTTTTGCTACTCAGATATTTATGACAGTTTCAACAGAGCGGAAAACGCTGTTCCAACGCCAGCCGGCCATGAAATCCAACCTAGTTCGAATGGGTGTAACCGGGGTCCTGCCGGACGATTATACGCGCCTGTGGCGCTAAAGCGCGGTGACAGCAGTGTACAGCACACCCAGTCGGTCCCACAGTTGGAAGTGGCGGTTTCAATTCGCGAGAATGATGAAGGGCTTCGTACTGGCAGGAGAGATGGTGTGGGTGAAGCAGGGAGCCGAGGCGCGTCATGGTGGCAATACCTGTGGATCTACTCTCACACTTCCCCCACCCGGTGCCAGCAGCGTCGGTCCAGCGAGCCAAATGAAGATCCGCCGCGAGAGGGATATACTACTTATGGTCTAGTCAACCCGCCCTCTGCCTTCAAGTCGTAAGAATTGCTCCTCAGTTTCTGAATTAGCATGACGTGCAATGTATCACCGTCATGCGCAAGGAATCAACTGCTGGTCGGAGACTGGGCTTCGTACTCCAAAATGGATTGTAGTCCGAGCCGAGTACGTTTGCGAGATTCCAATCCTCAATGGAGCTCTCAAACACCGGTGCTCACTGATTGTTCATAGCCTCCTGCGACTCCCGGAACGGCAAATGGAGACGTTACCTGACAGTGCTCGTGATTCATGACTTCTTGATGATGCTCGCCCAGGTCATTGACCACCTCGCTGTGGGCCTCTGGCATCCGAGATAGACACTCATCATTGAGTGCTAGGACGAGCTGCTGATGCAATCGGCGAAATCCAAGGCGGAAAAGGATTTATAGATCTGTCCGGGCGGTGCATGATCAGTGCGCCGCATCTCCAGACACCATCCCTGCTGGACATCCCCGTGAGACCCCCTTGAGGTTGCATTTCAACCTATTTGATATTGAAGCTCATACCTCCTAGATCTCGTATACTCACCACTTGATTGTCTAAGTTGACATAAGACGACCAGCCATTCTTATGCCTGCCCGTATTCTTCAATCGCCTAGCACGCTAACAATCTACTTGAGATCATAGGCCCAGGCCCACGTTGATTTTAACATGAGGCCGAGGGACGCCGCCGCCTCTCGCCAGACACCGGCGCGAAAGCGTCAGCGTAGAGGACTGAGCCGGTCTCGGAACCGATGTATCAAGAGAATCGAGCACTCACGAGGTATCTTGAATTTGAAAGCAAGTTCCGAGCCGGCGGCTGAAGCCTGGAGAGCCAAAAGAGACGCGTCCGCCTGATTTGAAGCTTGAGCATTATGGCTGGAGCCCAGTGATTTGAGCAATCCCCACTGAGTTGGCCTCGCCGGTTCAAGTGCGTGAACAGACGGGCGGGTTTGCAGGGACCGATTGTTTTAATCCAGATCAGTGGGCTCACATACGTCTAAGGCCTCTCTGTATGATCCAATTACGGCCTTGTCAACATCAGCAATGACGTTCGCGCTGCTCGAGATTCCAATAGTCAGCCACCACAAAGTAGAATGAATTACAGCGATCATGAGATAGTTACACACGTCCGGCAAGTTCAATAGTAGGAGTAACTATAAGATCCTGGAATTGTCTCTGATACGCTCTGGGGTCCTAGACGCACAGAACGCGGCGGATCGGGCGACAAGGCCGTTCGCAGGGGGCGCACATAAGTTACACAAAAGGACAGAGTAGCGAGCAGGTCCGCTGGGGGCACTTAACGATAGAAGAAGCAGAGCAATAAATATGAGGCCCGCAGGCATAAGATGGCCTGCTCGACGATAATTGAAGGGGTATAGTATCCGGTGCACGGGTACTGACGGAAGGTAGGATAAAGATAAAATTAGATGGTGCAAAGGAATGAAGAGCGGGTGGGTGTAAGTCTTTACGACACATAGCAGCGTCAGCGTTAGACGTGGATGGGCATCACAGTCGGAGTCGCGGTCGTGGATACAGTCATGGAAGATATAAGGAACAGTTTGAATCAGGCCAGCTCGCGGAGGCAGAAGCGGGGGACAACACCCTTGGGCGCGTCGGGGCTACCAGTGATGTGCTGAGCGAGACACCACTCATCTTCATACTCCTCGAGCATGCGCAGCTGCTCGCCGACCTTGATGACCAGTTCGTCGGCGAGCGAGGGTTCGAATGTGCTCTCGACGACCATCGTACGTGGAAGTGGCTTCATGCTCAGCCGCGACTTGCTCGGTGTTTTGGCAGTGAGCGGCGCAGCTTTGTTCCAGGGCGAGTTGGACCCAAACGACGCGGAGCGCGGGCTCGGCATCATGAACTTGGCCGTCTGAGGACCCGCAGGAATATTCAACATGGGTGGCAGTATGCGTGTTGCGGATGTCGCAGAATTTGTTGCGGTTAGTGGGGCGGCAGTGTACAAGGGAGGCGGCGAACGAGAGCTGCGCTCGTCGGTGGACGGGAAAGGGCGCACACCTGGGAGTGTGTACGTCCATTGTCTTCCCGTCTGTGCACTGGCTGCGGGTGCGGTAGGCAAGACAACATGCATCTTGGGCTTCTCTATCTCCTGGCCAGCACGGTCAAAGTCGATGTGGACCGCCTTCTCCCCGTGTCGCTCCCCTATGAGCGAAATGTTGATTTTCGACGAGGCCGCGCGAGCCTTCGCGCGGCGCCATTTTCCGACTCTCCACGCCACGATACCTATAGAAGAAGCCAGATTGCATCAAGCTATGCATCACGAAGCAGTGTCAATCAGTACGTACCTACAATGGCCAGGACGACAATCACAACGACAGCAGTGATCGCCTTCTCACCAGACGTCATCTCGTTCTCCTCGCTCCCAGACGGTGTCGACGATTCGACCCCTATAGCTCCCACAAGGAGTGCGGTCGAGTTCGTTTCCGGCACTTCATCCCGTTTGTAGGCATAATGCGAACGGCGCCAGGCGTTGCGTTGCTTCAGGTGTTCCATAGACAGACCCATGACTGAAATCGAATCGAAACCGTAAAAGACGAAGCCCAAGGAGAAAGAAAAAGAAGAAAGAAGAAGCTCCTGCATCATCACGCTGAAACGTATGCCTTTATGATCCTAGCTGCCGACACAGCCCCGCTGATCCTGACGTTGCATCAGTGTGGTCTCGGTTCAAGTCACCTTTGAGACGGCTACGCACGCCATCACTGTCTGGCTGTTAGCGTGGTCACTGGCAGCTGCATTAGGAGGCCACTGCATTAGGAGGAGTAGTCAGCACTCCATCCACCATCTGCGACCACGCTGGGACGCTCTCGTCACCATGCCAGTGGTCCAACATCTGGACCATGCTATAAGCCTTGGCTATGTACTGCTTACGTGAAAACGTACCGCAATGAAGTTTTGACGGTGCTGATGCGGGAGTCTCGAGCCGTGGCCTCATTCCGAAGTAGCCGGCCAGGCGCCAGCTTGCCAACTTCCAAAAAGTCTTCGGCATCCCACCCGTCGCGAGACTTACCGAGGTCCAGCTGGCAACAGAATGCCTCCGAGTCTCACTCTGAAGTAGGTTGACACAAGCAATCATTAATCATTGATCAGGCGCGATACTCATGTAACCGTACCTGACGAGATGTAACGCGGACGGTCTGCAGACGACTTGTAGGCGCCGACATTCCATAGCCCGAAAATCTGGTCGGCTTTCAACCTTAGCTTCGAGGACTATCGAGTCTCGAGAGCCTGGAGCTTATTATTGGTGGGCTGACTACTTAAAGAAACAGTTATGGGGATACGGTAGACACAACAGTGGACAGTCGAAGCCAACAATTTACAGCACCGTGTCGTGGGAAACGTGATCCACCACTGCTGGCTGACAGATGGGTCGCCATTCATTTAATTGATATGGTGTTTGCTGCGCATATTGCGGATCACTCGGGCTGGATGTGATGTCATGATGTTTCTCGCATACAAGTGGGTCAAGTCATCAAAGTAAACTCCAAGTCAACTCCATTCGACATTCGAGGCCACAGGTTTGCACGCAACTTCCAATAATCATACTCTAGCAACTTTCCCAACTCACAAGTCGCTAACAGCACATTACACTCGCCCCGCACATGCTCAGTCCCCGGATGACGATACGAGGTTTATCTCACATCCAAACGCTCCGCCAAAAAAAGGATGTGAGGTTTATTATTTCGTATTACGATTTTCTGAGTTTGTTTGTATTTATGCTTTTTATATACCGCCTCACGCTCAGGCAAGGCTAGCGAACCCAACACGCGCATTCTTCACGTCAAATACGGTGTATACGCTCCTCAGGAACGTGTCTCCGATGATCCAGAACCCTTGGCTCTTCTGCCCCACGACGCTCGCCATGCACTCTGGCGAGCCATGGCTGATAGGCCCGAGGTTGAACAGCTCCTTGGACATGTTGAATGTTGTTTCGCCAATAGTGAGGCTCACGTCGGGTGTCGCATTGCATGGGACAGTGTACAGACCGTGGCCGGCGCTGTTGGGCGCGAGCTTTGCACCGGGAACAGACTCGAAGAACTTGGTCACGTCGTCAGCATCGCCGATCACGAATGTTGTGCCCGTATCGACGATAGCGGTCATGTTTCCAAGCGTCTTGTTGCCATTGACGGACGCACCATCCAAGTTCACTTGCCAGTACGACTGCAGTCGAATCAGCAATCACTCCTGGCCTCTTGGATCAATACTGTACTGACCTGATGAGTGACTGGGGTATACGTCAAGTCGCCCTTATATAGGTCGTTGTTGACGCCGCCTATTGACAACTCCGCGCCATGATCCCCGAGCTTGAACGCGAACACCTGATCCTGCACCTGGTCCTCTCGTGCGAGTGTCTGAAAGACTGGGTCGTCATCGTACACGGAGAGGGACCGGAATGCCATGCCCATCAGCCCGTCAGGGAAGAAGTTCCACGGCGCGAATCCTTCTGAGTAGGTCTCCGCCGCACCCACAGATGCATTGATCGCCTTTAGCATTGATAAATTTTGTCAGCACCATTCCAGCGTCTAGCGGCTCGTCGCACACACCTTGAATCCGCCAATATGCACTGTGTCAGAGTACACTGAGCCCGTCGCGCTCGTGCCATCGCCATAGGTGAGCGAGAATGGATGGTACAGGTCGCGCCCGGATTTACTCTTCTCGGGATGGTAGAAGTGATGGCCCTCGCAGTTCGTCGTGCACAACGGCCCGGGAAGCAATAGGTCGCTGCTCCCTGTGTCGAAGTCGACCGAAAAGTTCTGCGGCGGCGTGCCCACTGCGATCGCACCCTGCCACATCTGGCCCCCCATGTCTTCCGCAAGCGCAATGTCTGCTGCGCGCCGTATCATGTCTGCACTACCGACGCCCGCCAGCGGGTGCGCGGTGCCAGTGTTCCGCTCGTAGGCCATGAATCCTGCCTGAATTTTTCTGAGCAGGGGTCAGTATGAGCATAGGTGCAATCGAGAGCAGAGACGTACGCAGTGGAGCGGATGAAGTGTTTTTGGATCGCGTCAAGATCAGCGACGCCGTCCGGACCTGCGAACGACGTGCGCTTGTTCAGAGCGATCTTCGTGCCGCGTGGGACCTCCACCGGGGAGGCCACAGCCAGCAGGAAGTGAATAGCAGAGAAAACGAAAGTGACAGACACAAACATCATGCAGATAACGAAGAGAGCGAGGATAAGTATGAATGTGAGTATGTGTGGTCTTGCGTCAAAGCAAAGGCTGATAGAACAGCATGCAGAAATGTCGCAGCTTTTATGGACTTCGTGCGGGAACATATGTCTGTTCGTCTGTACATCCACTCACCCGTGTAACCTAACTTATCCGGTATCCTTCTCCGCGAAGGCTAGATGCTTCTAGCCATCGTAGAGCCGTTACAACGATGACCATTGCATCAGAATGTGCCCTAGTCCCGATCGCAATGTTCTCCGTGTATTCCAAAAAAGACATGCGGCTGATTTTGAGTCGGACTGACGCACACATTCCATATCCCTTCATGATTGGACTGCCGGAGACAGCGCGCTACCTTCCCCATTCCCTGGATATTAGACATGTGCAGGTAAGGTACATATTCAAAACCTGGATAATATCACTTCTTCGCCTAAGCTTTGCCCTTAGCGGGCGCAGAGGTCCTGGCAGCACCTCTGCTCTTCTTTGGTGCCTTGATCAAACTGTCGCGCGCTATATCATTGTCTGAGACCTCGGGCTCGTCGATAATATCCTCTGCCTCATCGTCGACCTGAACAGAAGATCGTCAATACAAAATCACCCCGTATCGATCGCCAACGTACATCTATTGCCTCCTCGAGATCCGGCATCGGGCCCGCAGCAGCAAGCTTCTTCGGTATCTTGCCCAGGTCTTGTGCCTTGTGGAACGGAATAGGATGGTCCCTTGAGTTGTACCTGTGCACAGCCATGGGTTAGGCGCATCTAAAAGGAAGCCAACACCGGAAGACTGACTTTTTGGTGAAAGACGTCTTCGTGGCGGTCGAGATCTTCTTCAGCACAAGATCGTCCTTGTTCTGGTCCACACCAAGCTCGATAATTGTGTCCCAGTCCTCTCGGGAAATAAAATACTCGTCCATGCGGCCAATGACCTCATCCACCGCACTCTGAAGTAGAAGTGAAGATCAGTCGAACATGTAATCTGCAAACTGGAATCTTTCACGCACCGCGCCCTGTTCTATGAGTGGTTTGACGACGTGTGGGAACAATGCCGGGATGTACGACTGCCGAATCTCGGATTTGTCGCCAGATACCTTGATCCGCATACGAGCCTGCACTTCCGTTAATTGTCGTGTCAGTTTAGTCTGCTTGGAGTTTTGACCAAGCCACCTGCAGAACCGTTTTCAGCTACCCTAGTCGAGACTCTGATCGGAGACGCACTGAGGGAATGACATGGCATTGGGCCCAGCGTATCCTATACCCATGCCGTACAAGAACGATGCTGGGCGAACGGTGGAACACACGGCATGCAACGGCATCAAGGACCAATGTTGTTCAGGCCTACGTTGTAGGAACAAACATCAATGTGCAGGGGGCTGACGATACGTAGACAGAGACAGACCCATGGATTAGCGAGTCAACAAGATCCCCATCTGATAAGGATGATGCAGCCTTGTCCATGAGAGACAGTTGTCTCAAAATTTTCTCGGGTCCTTCTAGAGTCTTCACTTTTGTAGGCTGTGTCTTTAGATAATTCTCCTGTGATACAGTGGGCTAACACGAAGTGGTGTCAAACAAGGCGCCTTACCTGTATGAAGAGGGGGATGAACGAATGATCGTGGAAGTAAAGCTCCATCTTGTCATTGAGTGTCTCTCGGGCAGTTGGAGAAAACAGGTAAGGACCAAGAAGTTTGTTGGTGACGTTGAACGGCGTCATGATCGCGTACTTCTCATTCATCTTTGCGCTAGAGTGTACAGAACTCAGTGATGGAATACGTTGAAAAGAAATCGCACAAATACAGTGCTTTGCCTTCGTCAAAATCCATTGTATCACTGGATAGCTTCCAAGTTGAAAGCATGTTTAGGACTTGGCGAATGTCCGATTGTGCCCCTTCAATCAGCTGATCTATCACGTTAGCTGGTACTTTCATTTTCTCTCTATAGGCCGACTATTAGAGATAGCACTTAATTACGCAGGGACAGTCATACATACTTGAAGGCAATACTGAGTATCCTCGAGCGGATAGCGTTCACTTCTGGTCTATCAAGGAGATTAATCAAGCATCAGCGCTCTTGATAATTTGACATACTTTCGATACGTCAGGTTGAAAGCAACATTCGCCAAAGGCTTGAGTTTCAGCGCGCCTCGATCATTCGCAATACAGATGATTGGAATCTGTTGCCGTTGAATATAATTCCCAGAGATGAGGAAGAAGGCTTACTTTAGTTTTTCGAATAAGCGCCGATAGAGCACCCACGCCTCCTCTGTCCCCGGCAGACATACCGTCGACCTCGTCCATGATCAGACATGTCTTGTCTGTGATTGTCACGCCGGCGGCATTCGTGGCCTATACGGATGCATGGTTAAGCGATTCTGTGCCAACCCGGGAATATGGCTCACCGTCCCGCCTGTCATCCACCCATCCAGCGATGTGTTGGCAATATTTGTACTATTCTAATATATGACGTTGAGAGTCGACCTAACCCAAAATAGATCGTCCTGATCTACTTACCTCAACAAGTTTCTTGCTGCGTGCATCACTGGCATTCAATTCGATCGGAGTGAAGCCCTCAAGCTTTGCACACATATGGGCGCTTGTAGTCTTGCCAATGCCCGGCGGTCCTGTGATGAGCACAGCACGGAACACATTCATACCATCCTTCCCTGGTTTCTTGAAGCTAGACTTTAAACTCGACGGCCTGCATGATACTCAGGGGCGGATAACGCTTATCAGAAAGCGCAAAATTTACCAGTCATGGAGCCAACGTTGAAGCTTTTCAACTGACCCTTTGTTGCCGCAGATCTCCTTGACCGTTTGAGGAGCATATCGATCCGTCCACAATTGATTTGTAACGGCTTGCTTCATACTATGCACGCGTCATCTGTATCCCCTTCTGATACTGATAATGTATACCACCAATTACGTACCTTGCATTCGTCCCACCACTCTCCCTCATTGCCTTCTTCTCCCTCTTCTCCATCTCAGCAGCAGCTGTACGGATGGCTTCCTTCTCTTTTTCCCGCTTCTTTTTCGTCTTATCATCCAGCTTGCTTGCGTCAGGCACACGTGTGGCAATCAGATTAAGGAAACCATCTTCATCCAGTGTCTTCAAATTGTTCTTCTTGATCGCGGCGAGTTTGCTAGGCCCGGCATCCGAACCGAGGATGACATACGAAGTTTTAGATGACGGTTGCAAGGTCACACGGCTGGTATGCCAGAATCTATATTTATGCACTGAAACGAATCAAAGAGCAGAGCACTTACCCGCCATTGCGTTTAGCTAGTTCTATGGCCTCCTCGCGAGAGAAACTAGTCAGTTCACCCGTGAAAACGAATGCCAACCCTGCGAGACAATCTGGTGCCGCCGGTTGAGGAACTGACTTGGAGCCTGGGGCAACGGGCCCTGCCATCTTCGCAGCCCTTGCTGCTGCCCAGCTAGTGCGTGTTATTCAGTACATTTCCTGCAATTTGATAGGGACATACTTGAACTTCGGCTTCGGATTCTCTTCGTCAACGACTTCATCGTCATTCTCATGGCTCTTGCCAGCAAGGGCTTCTTTCGTCGGCGCTTTCTTCTGAGCTTTACTCTTTGCTTGAGCTCTCTTGGGGGGCTCCTCTTCCTCGTCCACAACGTAGTCTTCATCTTCATCCTCAGAACTAGACGCTATAAAATCATCATCTTTCCGCTTCTTCTTGGGTGTCTTGCCGCCTGCATGAACGTTCCGAGATACAGCCCCCTTCGTGCTGGATTTCGCTTTGGGTGCTGCTGCTACTACTTTGCTGCTACTGGCTTGCGGAGAGGAATATGTCGCGACTGCAGCTTTCTTCTTTGGCGGAGAAGTCGTTTTCATATCGGCGTCTTCGTCATCGCTGGAGAGCAGAACAGCCTTGCGCTTCCGCACGGGACGAGGGCTAATATCGTCTTCCTCCATGACCCGCTGGCTCTTCGGCTTTTACAGCGCACAAGTTAGGTAATGATAGAATAAAATACGAATGCACATACCACTTCAGTCGCCCTCGGATGGGGTCTAGGAAGCGTCAATTAAGTCAAAGACGAAGCATTTCAATTGCGCACGTACGATTTCGAGATCTTCTTCACCCTTATGAATGTTACATGTGAAGCGTTACATTTAAGAAAGAATAATCGCACGTACTTGCTATCATCTTCATCGCCTTCATGGAATGGTCAGTTCGTGGACACAACCTGAGTTAGGCGCACCTACTAATCTCGATAGGTCGGGCTGAATGACTTCGATGCGGGTTATTCTGCGATACATGTCTCTCCTCCATCTTTCTTGCAGTGTTTTGAACTGAACTTCCATCCGATTTCGAAGCTCGCCCAGAAGACGCGGTCGCAGCAGGTGCAGCCTGACTGCCTCCACCGAAGAATCCTCGAATATCTTTACCTTGAGATTTCGCAGGAGTCTTAACCTTGCCACCGGCCATCATTCAAGGTGAAGTATTCAAGGACCCAGAGTTGGTAGGAATCCGGATGGGCAGATAGTGGCAGCGCTAGAACTGCGCGTCTGTGTACAATATCAAGTTCAACAATGACAATGCTCGACGCGAAGTCCGAAAATGTGGCGGTATATCCTTTCTGGAAATCGGTCGTGGAGAAGGTTGTGCAGGTTCGCCGAGTGGGTTTGGCACGCCGTGACCGACGCGTTCTGGAACACGGCGCGTCACATACGCGTAACCTATCACGTGTATGTGACAGTGCGTGACCCCATGAGCGCTCACTCTCCTCCAGTAGGCTGGTCGCCGTTCCACCAAGTCAGCTAAATCTTGCATCGATACCAGAGATTTGCCCGGTCCACTGTCGCGTTCCTTCGAGTCATCTGCACATTTATACCGCCAATATGCTTGGCAAACTTCCAAGTTCGAGGTAGGCTTCACATTCAAACTGATCCAGTGCTGGTGGCACACTCAAGATAATGGCTGCAGATTTGCCAGCATATATGATTCCCTGCCTTCTGATGCTCAGCAAGCATTGGTGGAAAAGCATCTTATTCCCCTCCTAAACCTTGCTGGTAAAAGTCGTGCTAAGAAGGCCCTTGCCCACGCTACTCAATTAAAGAAACGTCATGCTAACATTCCGGTCCTCGATCTCAAAGCGAAGCGGATGGAGGTCAATGCGCTGCTCGAGGAGTTGCACAAGGACGCAAAGCGTTCTTTTGTGAAAGAGCGTTCCCAGCATAGCGAGCTCTTGGACGAAACCGTGCAGACACTGATAGACTGGCTAAACGATATATGGAGTATCGTCTACGAGCATCACGTCGACTTCCTACACGCGCACAAGTGCCTTTTGTTTGTCGCGGGGACGCTAGACCATATTGGCAGCGGTCGGTCGGGGTAAGTGAGCGTGTTTATTAAGTCTGACCGTCTAGTCATCGTGGCTGGTAGCTGCCGATGCGCGTTTACAAATATGTATGTCCACATCACGCTCAAAAGGAAATCAGGAAAGCGAATCAAATCTTTCGATATACATGGCGCCCAAAACATTGAGGAGATTTTGTTCTTTATCTGGAGAGATCTCTTCTTGAGCATGCTGGCTACTGGCAAACCACGATTGACTGCCTTGATACCAGGTATGCTAGAGGAAATCGAGGACCAGGCGAGTTGGTCTGGTTTAGAACGAGTTCTTTATGGGGGGACGAAGTGTGAGTCGGATGTCCTCTGTATCTGTTTAGTCTTATGGGACATGCGCAGGCCCGCGGAATTATGAGGATGAGGATTACAACGATGAAGATGATGAGGATGAGTCTGATTTTGATGAGGACTTGGGAGGTGACTTTTATGATGAAGAGGAGGCCGAATTCTACGACAACGTCCGCGGTTCGCCCATTGCGAAACACTGGTCATATCGTGTGAGCAGCCAAACCTCACAATTACGCAAGCATATAGTCAATGCCATGATGGTAGTATTCAAGGCGAATCCTACACAAAAATTATACGCAGCGCTTAGCGCGATCTCCTCCGACCCCGAATCCGTGGAGGCGCAGTTATTGGCCCATCTTGCGACGATCGCTACCAGTTCTTCCGATGCGTTCGCCGCAGCGCTCGACATCTATGCTCTTCAGAGAGATGCTGAGGCGATCGTTGGATTGCTGAATCGATACTCTCACCTGCTTCGCCCGCGCGACGCCCCGTCGTTACAAAGCGCGGTTTCACTCATGGCAGACTTCCAGTACCACCGGTTGCGAAGTTTGCATATCATCGAGAAGGAGCTCTTCGACACCGCGAAGGGTGTGCGCGCCGCACTGCTCGTCTCTTTCTCACAGTTTGACCACCCGGCAAACAAGGACGAGCTACAGGAGATTATCAAGCTGCGACAGGGCGCCGCAGGACGGCAAGAACGGGTAGAAGCATGGGTCGATGCGATATCGACCCCTGGCTCAAACGCACCAAACCCTATGGCATTCGCCGCAATGATGATGGGACTGCCTCTAATGCCCGGCTTGGACGCGCCGGATGAGGCTGATCCCCTCGGCTACCTGGATCTGGATCCTCATGACCCCGACCTTGAAGATCTAAGAGAGGAATTCCGGCCCAACCTTAAGCAGCGCTTTGAGGGATGGACTGATGTCGCTATCACCATTACAGGCGGCCATGGTGTCCTTATCAATGTATTCAAAGAAGTAATTGAGCTCATGCCATTCCTACGCGCAAATGACGTTGTCGAGGAAATGGTCGGCAGGTAAACCGTCGCCACGCTTTATTTGCTCTCCCGCTGACAGTTCATGAACCTTGTATAGACTTGCGGATAGGCCGAGCAAACATTATGTATGCGACGGACTTGACGCACTGTCGCACTTCACTAAACAGCAGCGGAAGAAAATTATTAATTTGAGGAACTCGCAGCGGCGTAGTGCCGCCTCGAAGACTGCTCAGAGTACCTCTGGGTCCTCTGCCACGGGCCCCTCGTCGTCTACAACACCACTTCCAGCTCCATCTCCAGGGCCTAATCCGTATCATGTTGGCCTAGCGGGCTTCCCCTTCGTACCGTCCGAAGTATTTCCCCAGCCGGGAAATAGCTTGGAGGACGTCGACTGAGATATCAAGAGTGTTTCTAATCGCATGCGTAATGTTATCGTAATATTGTAGCTCTAGTTGTCGTGATTCTCGCCTATTCCGCTTCCGTATTCATACCTGAACGTTTATGTTTGTGCTGGTATTTTCGTACAGCCAAGCTCCATAATTTGGCACTCCTCGTCCTACTATGTACATAATTTGCTACCCCAGCACTGTATTGTCCGCAGGTTTATCTTATTCTCTTCCTCTTCTCCGATTGTAAAGAAATTTTCTTTTCCTACCACATACTGGTAATTCATGCAGCTTGAAACAGGCCAAAACTGATGGCATCTTAGAATAGGCTTAGGCAAATGAGGGGGCACTTGATATTCAATGCCAGTCCGCAGCGCTATCTAGTGGCTAGCCGCCCTCAGGATGTTGTACAATACATGTCTTCAGAAGCACATTCCTGGGACAATCCAACTTCCTGTAGAACCCTATCTGCCATCGGAGCCAAATGCTATACTTTCGCAATTGGTCATGTAGACGTTGTAGCGATTGAGATGGTTAGGGCGGGCGACTGTAGCTGCTTGGCAATTATAGAACTATGATTATAGTTAGTGCTACTATACATTAAAGTAGGATAGTTCTAGGAGATATAGCAATGGCCCGGTCAAGATACAGTACACTCTACGTTGAAACCCGTTTGATACATGAGGCAATCGCCCCTAGTTAGGCCCGACGACGACCTGTTTCGTCTTGTTGAAGCCC